AAGCCAGTGAAAGCCCTGGGAAGGGTGTCCCAGTGCCAGGCCGGGCATCCATCCCTCACACCCAGCCATGGGCTCACACAGGAGGAGCCACAAGGGAACCGCCTCAAAATCCTGTTGGATCACATTCCTTGCAGCATAATGTCATTTTAATCGGGATTAACCGATTTCTGGCTGTAAAAACTCCCGTGGCTAAAGCAGCAGGTGCCACAGCACTGAGCTTAACCCTGCCCTCAGGTTTATGTCCCTGTGCCCACAGTGAGCTCAGAGCATTCCAGGTGAGGAGATGCCTGGCACAGGGGCTGGGTTTGTGTCTGAAACAGCTCCCACCCCTCCAAACAAGACCTCTGCCTCAGCTGGACCACCCAGCAGTGGGATTTCACTCCCAGAAATTAGCTCCTCCAACTCCAGGGAGCTGAAGGTGCCCTCCCAGCCAGGCTGGAACTCCCAGATCATGGTCCTAAAACAATCACCACACCCACACTCTGCACAAATACAGGCTCCAGGGAGAGCTCAGAGCCCCTTCCAGAGCCTAGAGGGGCTCCAGGAGAGCTGGAGAGGGACTGGGGACAAGGGATGGAGGGACAGCACACAGGGAATGGCTTCCCACTGCCAGAGGGCAGGGCTGGATGGGATATTGGGAAGGAATTGTTCCCCAGCAGGGTGCCCAGAGAAGCTGTGGCTGCCCCTGGATCCCTGGAAATGTCCAAGGCCAGGTTGGACACTGGGGCTTGGAGCAGCCTGGGACAGTGGAAGGTGTCCCTGCCCATGGCAGGGGTGGGATGAGAGGGGACGTCCCAGCTCCTTCCAACCAAACCATTCCGTGATTCCCAGGAATCATGCTGGAGCAGCAGGGGACGCTCCACTGCTGGGGGAATCGTGAGGATCCCAAGTTTTCCCTGCAAGCTCTCCCGTGCCCCTGGTCACCCCTGGGTGAACACCAGCCTGCTGCTGCTCCGGGGCAGCCACTGGAAGGAGCCCAGGACCGAAGCGTGGCTGTCTCCCCTGTGGCCACAGGGCAATTGCAGGTGGCACAAGTGGAGCAGGTGGCTTTTGGATGGCTCAGGGGACTCCAGAGACAAGCAGGAAGCCAACGAGAGGGAATATACTAGATGGAAAAGGCCGTGAAAAGTGTAAAGGTGGAGCTGCTTCAGCTGGAAACTCAATTGGTTTCTTGCTGGCATTTGTCAACATGCACCTGGGAGCCACAGGAAACTGGGAAACTCCAGGAACTTTTCCATGAACACCCCAACATGGACATGGGTATGTTCTGCCCAAAAACCCACTCTGACACCAAGACCTCCTTCCACGACACACCAAGAACCCAGCAGATGAAACATCTCGTCCCAGCAAAGGAAGGAAAGAAGATCAGCAGCAGAAAACTGGGTGATATTATAATTAACTTCTTTCTTTTATTTACACCACAAGAATAACAAGTTGTCATAATGTGGTACAAAATACTGGACTCCTAATAAAGTTGAAATTGAAGTCGGTACTGTCAGAGAAAGACACCATTGGCCAGTAAAAAAAAAAAACAAAAAAAAAAAAAGGAAAAAAAAATAAAGAGAAAAGAGAAAAAGAAAATAAAGTGAGAACAAAGAAAGAAAAAAACAAGAATGAGAAAAATATTCCAACCACCAATTTAAAAGAAAGGACCATCAGAAAATCGAGCACAAAGAATGCTACCATCACTGAAAGTAGGGTCCATACAAGAAGAGTGAAATTGTGTCTAAATTACAGCATAAACCGGTAGCTGCTACCAATGGTGACGTCATACTGAGCATGTATAGGTATAAAGTAGAATATAATATAGTTACAACTTTTTGATACTACATATCTGTAATAAGCTCTCGGGTGAATAATGTTTCAACCCCTTCCCCCCCGTCCCCACCCCCCACTTTTATATATATATTATATATATAAGTTTGTCATCCTCATAAATTGGAAAATAGCGCCTCCACTATGGAGCACAGAAAAAGTGTTAATTTATTTTCTTTCAATAGGATACTTTTTTTTTTTCTTTTTCATCATCAATATCAAAGACAAAGTGAAGATGAGCTGAGAACAAGCCCAACTTCATGACAATGAAGAAACACGTTTTGCCTTTCGCTGTAAAGTCTCGTTTTTAAACCACAGTGTTGCACAGTACACGACTGCTTAAAGTGAAACCGAGCAATAATACATCATGTAAAAGTAATTTCTTAAAAAAGTTAACGCAGCTGTGCTGAAGAGTTAACTCTTTAAAGTCCTCCTCATCCATCCATCCATCCATCCCATCCATCCATCCCTCCGTCCGGCTCCTCGGAATGAACGACTCCATGTGTTGACACAAGGGTTGCATCCAACCTCCCCACCCAGCCGAGAAATCAAAGCAAAAACACCAACCCAAAGGAAATTAATAATAATAATAATAACAATAATAATAATAATGACACAGGCAGTTTACTTGGTGTGTTCGGCGTAGTTTCCCTAAAAACACTGTTTCCACATAAATACAATAAACTCTATTATTGGTAAGTCACAAGTGCTAGATAAACTTCTTAGGTTTTTTTTCTTTTCTTCTTAAAATGAGAAATGTTTAAGCAGTCCTTTTTGTCTTTTATTTATTTACTCTTTTTAACAATAAAAAGCACAATTTCTTCTTATTAAGTTCAGTAAGACTCAAAAAAAAAAAAAAAAAAAAAAAAAAGAAGAAAAGAAATCCCACTCTCCTTCCTTGGTGTGTAGCTGTGTGGGTGAGTGTGTGACAACAACATCCCAACCTTTAGTCTCCGCAAATGCCACGAGAGGAAAAAAAACCCAAAAAACCAATATCAAAACAAAACAAAACAAAAACCAACCCAAAGAAACCCCAAACCACCTCTTATTTTTTTAGTTTGTTTTTGTTTTTTTTTTCTCATTATCGTTTTCAAAGCTGCCAAGTTTGGCGTGCAAAATCTGTATACAATATAAAGACATGCCAACCTTACAGACCATGCAACCTCAAGGTGTAGGAAACTTAAAAAAATATATTCATATATATTTATATATATATTTATATATATCAATGCCCGTAAAAGAACGTGGGCCCAAAAAAGTTTACAAAAGGAAGAATGGAATGAATACATGACCATGACTAATAAAAAAAAAGGAATGTTTTGTATTGAAAGTTAAAAAAAAAAAAAAACAACAAAAAACCAAACCAACAAACAAACAAACAAACAAACAAAAAAAAAACCTAAAAAAAAAACCAACAAAAAAACCCCCAATGGTTACTTGTGTACTGCAAACTGGGCCTCACTTTGCTGTAAAGAGGATTAAAAGATGTTCTTTTTCTTCCCAAGCAGGTAAAAAGAATGCCCTGGGCAGCAGGTGCTGGGATGCAGGAGCATCCCGGGCTCCCACCCTGCTGGCACGGCCGCCCCTGGCAAAGTCATCTGAAATGAAGAAGCTTAATGGCTCAAAAAAGTGAAAAAAACCCTGGAGAGCCTCAAAACGAGGGCTCCCTCCCCTCTCTCCACGCCAGCACTGGGCCTGGAAAGCATCCCCAGGGAAGAGCATCCCCAGGGAAGGTCACAGCCCAGGGAAGAGCATTCCCAGGGAAAAGGGGGATGCTGCAAAATAAATCCACGTTGCCGGGAGTTTGGAGGAGACAAGCTCTGTCGTCTCGGGAAAACTTTTCACGTCCCAGCAAAAAGCTGAGGGGAAGGATGGAAAGGAAGGAAAGAAGGAAGGAAGGAGGCATCCTGACAAGCTCCTCCAGGTTTTCCAAAGGAACTGGCTCAGCACGGTCGGCCGGCGGCTCCCAGGAACACAAAAAGGAAGGAAAAAGCTTTGCCATGACTGGGAGGAGAAATGTCAAAAACCTTCCGGGGAAGAGCTGACAACACAAAGGGAGGAGTAAACACGGGCACTGCCCATGGCACAGGGAGCACAACCCCACGTCAGTCACCAAATTCTGGATGGATCTGAGATCACAGCAGCAGCGTGGTCAGATGGAGGAAAACCCCAAACCACAACATCCCCAGGTACGCGGTGCTCTCACGCGGGGGGGATTTTTTAGGATACGCCAAGGACGGGCCTTGCCACCGGGGCTTTTTGGGGTTTCAGGATGTACTTGGGTTTGCACAACTCAAATACTGTAGTGTTTGGTTTTGAAACTGCGCTAGAAAGCGAGGAAGGAAACAAAAGCCTCCAGAGTGGGGTCATGCTCCCAATTCCTCCCGCCAGCAAGTCCTGAACGGAACGAAAGCGGCTGCTTCAAGAACTGGAAAGAAGAGAAGTTACTGGAAGCAACCCCGCCAATCACCATGGGAACAGGATAAAAGAAGGAAGGGTGGTTAAGGAGAAGCTATGCTGGGAAGAGGGATGTGCTGTCCTACACTGCTGGAGGAAGGCGCGCCGGGAGCGCCATCCCTGTGAAGATGCTTTGCTCTCCCACCCGGCATTCCCAGGAGGCAATGACCTCCTCGGGGTGGGGGAGTGAAAAAAAAAAAAAAAAGCCTCCAAACCCCTTTCCCAGCGCCAGGAAGAAGAAGGAGAAGAAGAGGGGAGAAAAAGAGGGAGAAAGGAGGCGGAGAGAAAACGCCAGCAGTCCCGGAGTGTCCGAGGAGCCTTCCCGAGGACAGGCAGCGCCAGGAGCCACGGGCTGGACAAAGGCGTCGCCCGCCGAATGCTACCAGGTAAGAAAATTCCTTATTTTCTTTACATAGCTACTACAAGAGAGCTGAGGAAATATACAGTCGGCGGAATTGGTACAACAAAAGAGCCCATTGCGGTCCCTCATCCTCCTCCTCCTCCTCCTCCTCGGTAAAACACACCCTTTCCCAGAAAAAAAACAAACTCTGTCAGTCAGCCCACAGTTCCTTACACCTGCAGAAAGCTGCTCACTGTACAAAAGAGTTGAGGAAAAGGAGAGAAAACAATATAGAAAATAAATTTTAAGAAAAAAATTAAAAAAAAAAAAATAAAAGGAAAATCCATGTAATTATAAGCAAGAAAAGAGGGAGGAAGAAAGGTTTAGATGCTATTGCCGTTCGGAAAGGCAACCTGCCAAATGGAAAAAGAAATATCAGAGTCACACAAACAAGGCTTCCGGAGGGTTTCGGGAAATATCCATATAAAAATTAACAGCAAATTCAGCGTCTTTGCTATAAAAAACTCTTTTTTTTTCTTGTTTTTGTTAGAAAAGGATCACAACTAAAAACCTTAAATTAAAATACAAATGTTTAGGGTAGTTGCCCAGTGGCTAAAGTGTTGGCTTTCTGAAAAACTTCCCAACCTGACACCTGAAAAGTCCTCAAGTTTCAACCTGGATCCTTTTCCAAAAGCACCTTTGACCTTGTTACAATTCCCAAATCTGACCCTAGGGAACTTCCAATGGCTACTGTTAGAGTATGCATTTATTACATATATTTTTTTTCTTTTTTCTATAAATGCATCATAAATATTTTTCTCAATAATTCATAGGAATCCGGTTTCTAAGCTTGGAATACATTTGGAATATACATTATACACATATATATATTTATACCTAACAATTTAAGCAATATCTCATGCTAGTTGCTTTTAATAAAAAGCATTCCAGTCTTAAAACCTGCATTTGTGTCTAATACATGCTTCAACAACCAAATTGGTAAGTTCAATTACTAGATAATGTAGAAGAGAGAGAAAACATTTGAAAATTGGTTGTTAAAAATGGTTGAATTTCAAAGACCCAACAGTATTTGCCACTTTCTTGGCAACTACCTTAATTTTGTTCCTTTTTTTTTTCTTTTTCTTTTTTCCTTTTTTTTTTTCTCTGAAACATCAATGAAAGAAAACAAAACAAATTCAAACTTGTCGACAGTTTTTGGAGACGCTCTGTTCAGCTGATGCCTGCTTCCCACCATCATGCCAGCACAAGCCAAAAAGTCTTCCTTCCTGATGGCAGTCCTTGGCTTTCCCAACCAGAGGAAAAATATTCAGGAACTGCTGTATTCTTTGTGTGGGTTTTTTTTCTTTTTTTTTTTCTTTTTTTTTTTTTTTAATTAATTTTTACTTAAGGCATTGTTCCTCAAACTTCAGAAAATCCAGCTGCACCAAATCCATCAATTAAAAAAAAAGGCACAAACTCATCTTCAGATGGCTTTGGAGACAATAAAGCCGACTCCATCTGGGCTACCATTCCCCCCCCTTCTGCTTCCCTTTCCTTTAGGTGTCAGATGAGTCCCTCGTTCCCTGTCCCTCCCCATTAAAAATTCACCATCATCTCCCAGTCTTGTCCCCGTTCCGACAAGAGCTGTCGTTGACTCACAGGCAGGCAAGAGCCATTTCCAAATATCCAAGAAAAGAAAGTACACGATGGGTTGAGTGGTTCAAGCGGAGATTGCTCAGTTGTGGGTAATCAACTTTGTAAGCACCAGTTTTACGTTAAGGTTTGTTTGATTTGTGTTGTTGAATCTTTGATTTCTCTGTTATTCTCGTGTTTTGTTTTTGTTTTTGTTTTTTTTTTTTTTGTTTGGCAACTCTGCCAAAGACTTCCTGGGCATCGTTCCTCTTTCTTCTCCCGGTGAGGACCAGAGGAAGAGTGCCCAAGGTGTCAGTCCTTTGCTGCTCTTCACCAGTGTGGTTTTTTTCGGCAAAAAGAGACTCAAAGATGCAGAGAGATTCGGTTTTTTTTGTGTCGCTTGCTTTGCTTTTACACCTGGCTGTCCTTCCGCATTCGGGAAATAACCGTGACAGGACGCAGGAGTAACAAGAGAAAGCTTCTTGGCAGAGCTTCAAGACGAAGACGAACGGACAGGAGAACTCCAGCTCGAATGGTGGGTGCTACAGAGGAGGCTCCTCTTCCATGGGCTCGTCCTCAGGTCTGAGGGATTGCGCAGCCAGGCAGGGTGGGAGAAGAAGGAGAGAGAGAAAAGAGGGTTGGGAGTGACAGAGTTGGGCAATTTGTGGTGCCAAGTCTCACCTCCTATGTTCCCACCACCTTCCCACTCAGCCAGCTGGGATCACCTGGAATTAAACTCGCCAGCGAGAAGGGTTTTTGGACAATCTCACTTGGGCAATATTAACATTTTCCCCGGCAAAACAAATTTCTTTTTGGGGTCCGAAGCTGTGCTCGGAGCAGAAGGCTCGGGCACAGGGTGCAAGCACAGGGTGCAAGCACATGGCTCTGCTGCTCTCCTGCAGCCTGGCAGGTCTTTTGGGAACCCACCATAGAGGACAAGGGGATGTGGGGGACGCAGCAGCAGTGCCTGAAAGGAGAGGATTAACCTGGAAATGTGATGGGAAACCACTGACCTCTTCTCCGCCGGCTTCACGCCCACTGACAGCGATGCCATGGCCGTCACTGTCTCCGCCTCCTCGTTCTCACACTTCTGGGCCTCCACCAGGGAATATCCCACCGTGGAGGCAAAACGCTGCAGGGAATGCCAGTACTTGCCTGGGGGACAGGTGACAACAGGGCCATCAGGGCACCATTCCAGCTCCTGCTTTCCTAAACACGGCCACCGGCTGGGAACTGCCCAGGGAACACTAATCTCATCTATACTCTCACTTTAAGGGCCTTAGGTGCTCAAAAAACAATTCCTTTCCCGCTTCAAATCCCTCAGAAACTTCTAGGCCCAAGGACAGATGTACCTGGAAATGGCTCTCTATCAAAAAAAAACACAGGAGAGGGAAAGATGCAGTCCAGATCTGGATCCAGCTGTTGACTGCCATGTGCTTTCAGTGGGCAAGTCCCTGAAGACTAAACAAGTCCAAGGTGTATTTAGAGCCATTAAAGTTGGAAAAGACCTCCAAGATCAGCATGCCCAAGCTTCAACCTCCAATGTATTTTTTTATGTTGGCAGTTTGACACCCTTTTGCATTGAGAAAAACACAGGGAAGGCTCCAGGGGAAAAAATTTCTGAGAATTTCTCTAGGCAAGGTTCAGTGCAATGATTTTAAACTTCTTGGCTAAATAAACCTAAAATATCAACAACTGCTAGCAAAACTCATAGAATATCCTTGGAAAGGACCTAGAGGGATCATCAAGTCCAACTCCTGGTCCTGCCCAGGACATCTCAAGAATCCCAGCCTGTGCCTGAAAACCTGCTTCACTTCCACGCCTGTCTACTCCTAATTAATGGGTGCCACAACACCCAGCAAGACTTGTGTTATGAAGAGATACTTAATTGCTTTTGAAGAAGTGAGAGCACCCTCTAATGGCAGGACACTCTGTCCTTTACAAGATTTTAGAGCTTTAAATTATTGTTAGGTTAACAGCAGGACTGGATCATCCTGACGGTCGTGCTCTGATTCTGTAATTCCCCCAGAAGGGCTAAGGCCTCGCTGGGCACGGCTCCATGCACAGTAACACCAGTCTGTGGCTGCACAAACCCAGTTCAGGGTGCAGTGACTGCCAGGAAACTGGGAGATGGGAGCACAGAGCTGGCAGAAAGATGGAGAAACCCAAGGGGTATCCCCAGGGAACCAGCTGGGTTGGTGGGGCTGCACTCACTGTGGATCTCGATGACTTTCTCCATGGAATGCACCGCGTTAGCATTTGCTCTCTGCTGGAAAACCTTCTCTGGAAGAGGGTCAAGCTGGAGAGAGAGAAAGAGAGGAACACCAAAGGCATGTTACCATTGAATCCCAGAATGGTTTTGGTGGGAAGGGACGTTACAGTTCATCCCATTCCATCCCCTGCCATGGGCAGGGACACCTCCCACTCGTCAGTTCTGCAGTGGGAACATGCCTGTGCCATCCCAGGGAAAGGCCTGACAGCACTGCTGGAGGAATGTTTTAGGATTTATTTGATTTAGAAAAACCAAGAAGAGGAGACACCTCTGCCCTCCCAGCTTCTCCACTAATGAATTAATTCATCCCAAACCTCCAAGGAGGGCTGTCCAAAACAAGAGATGTTCACTGCAGGTAACTGTGTTGAAAATAGCACTCAAGGCCCAACCAAAGATGTTTCCCCAGCAAAGAACAGCTAGAGTTTAATAGTTAAAAGTATCTGTGGAAAAGTTTAACTTCTGCTCAAAGCCAAGAGAAGCTGCAGCCAAGACTGCTCTTATGAGCACATGGTAGCCATTCCATAGGTACTTCACAGGATGCTGTATTCCAGATTCAGTAATTATGGATTGCACTTTTTATTAATTCTCCACTCTAAAAATAGTTCTGCTCCAAACTGCTTTCTGTATGACATTAAGTGAAGGCAAAAGCAACTCCTGGATGAGTCTCTGAGCAAGAGCTTTCCAAGGCCTCCTGGTGGACACTGAGACAAAGCACGTTCCTGATTCCAGAGCACACTCTTCCTCCTGAAATTACACTCACAAACAGCCTCAGACTGTGGAAAAGGCAGAAAAAACCTCTGGGCATGAGGCACCTGGTTGTCATCACCTTCTTGTTTGAAGGGCAGAGGCTACTGATGCCCACGATGGACTGAGCAGCTCTGCAGGGTCATGGGAGAGGAATGGTGGCTAACTGGTCTGGACTGGATTCAGCAGACCTGGGAATCATGGAATCATGGAATACTGGGGGTGAAGGAATCTTAAAACTCATCTCAACCTACCCCCTGCCATGTGCAGGGACACCTTCCACTGTCCTAGGTTGCTCCAAGCCCCAGTATCCAATCTGGCCTTGGACACTTCCTGGGATCCAGGGGCAGCCACAGCTTCTCTGGGCACCCTGTCCCAGGGCCTCACCACCCTCACAGGGAACAATTCCTTCTCAAAACCTCACCTAACCCTGCCTTCTGTGGTTAAAATGGACTAAAACCATTCCTCTTCCTGTCCCATCATGACCCTGTCCAAAGTTCCTGTCCAGCTCTCTTGGAGCTGCTTCAGCCACTGGAAGACTTCTCCCTGGTGCCTCCCCCAAGCTGAACAACCCAGACTCTCTCAGCCTGTATCAAAGTCTCTCCCTTTACCAAACCCACCTCTTATTTCCACCGAAGCCCCGTGAGCTTTGCACAGTTCTGCCACCATGGCAGTGCAGGTCCATTCCCCAGCCCTGAGCCCCTCCCCAGAGCAGTAATCAGCTGCACAGCCCCAGCTCTGGTTTCATTTCCTGGCAGGTTGGAAAGGAGCGGGCTCCTGTGCTCGCCCCGTGCTTCTCCCCATGCGGGAGTTTTGATCTCCGCTGGTGGACACCGGCGCTCGGGGGGCTGGCACCGTTCCCCTCATTTCCTACCAGCCCCAGTGGAGCTCCAGGACGGCTCCTGAGCCAGCCCAGCTCCCTGCAGCCTGCCCTGGCCACAGCTGCCTGTCCATGTGTGTGCAGGCAGGATCCTCCGACACGCTGTAGATCAAACCGCATCAAAGGGCCGCGGCACAGAGCTGCAGCCGTTCCCCCCCGACTCCCTTGCCTTCAAAAGGTTTGAGGAAAGACCTGGATAAAACGAGCGTTTCCTGCTTTCTGATGTGTGGGTAAGCCAGGGAATATTAGCCTATCTGCACAGCCCACCTAGGACCAGCGAGACCAGGTCTGTGTTTAAGCGTCCTTGTAGCCATTATTAAAATAATCAGTGTTTTTTACCTTTAAGGATCAATATTCCCTCTGCTCAATGAAACCACTCAGACAGCTAACAGCCAAGGTATCCTGAGTGCTGAGCTCTCCCCACAGTCTCACACTCCCAAACACATCCATGGCTTGGATCAAGCACTTTTTTACTGCATGTGGTTGCAGTCAGCCTCCTGTGATCTTAGGAGCACACTGAGCAGGAGGAATGACATCCTCCAGGTGTTATTCCCACTGCTTCCCTTTCCAAGTGCATCCTGCACCCACAGGTGGATGGAGCCAGAGGAATTGTCTTTGGTGACCACTTAAAACAGATGGGTGCTACAATGAACACCTCACAGAATCCCAGGATGGTCTGGCTTACATGGGAGCTTAAAGCCCGTCCAGTTGTACCCCCTGCCGTGGGCAGGGACACCTTCCCCGATCCCACGTTGCTTCAAACCTCATCCAACCTGGCCTTGGACACTTCCAGGGATCCAGGGGCAGCCACAGCTTCTCTGGGCAACCTGTGCCAGGGCATCACCACTGGAGCCTCCCTGTTTCCATGCTGATGTGGCAGCTGCCTCCCGAGTTTTCAGCTGTCTCGAGGGCTGAGTGCAGGCTGGAGCCATTCCCCGTGCCCAGAGCTTTCTCAGAACTGCCTGGCCAAGCAAAAGGAGCAGGATGCTCCCTGGACACTGGGAGCTGGGATGCTGGATCAGGTGTTTCTGATGAATCTGGTTTCTCTCCTGGCTCGGCTACTCCAGACTCCCCCTTAATGCTGAGTGTGGATACTCCAAGACAGAGCACTTGTCCAACAGGCTGGAAGTCAAACTGCTCCACACCTCCATGCAGATCCAAGCTCCCTGCCCATCTCCCCAGACACCTGATGATCACTGAAGTCCCCAGAAATCTCCCACTGTCTCCCACTGGAGACAGACCCACTGCTTGGCCCCTCTTGGTGCTGCACCTCAGCCCAAACTAACCATACTCAAAAGCCCCCAGACATGGTTTCAAGGTGCACAAGAGGGGGTTTAGGTTGGATATTAGGGAAAATTCCTTCACTGGAAGTGTGCTCAGGCATTGAGTCAGGCTGCCCAGGGCAGTGGTGGAGTCACCATCCCTGCAGGGTTTTCAAAGATGTGCAGATGTAGTGTTCCTTCTGTCATCCCACTGACTAAAAGTGGGGGGAAAGGCAGAAAAGATGGAGTCTCTACAGTTTTCACTGTAGGAAAATACCCTGAGCTCATAAGAATCCAACATCTTGCTGTACTTCTCTGTCTGGCTCTTATCTTGCAACCATCCCCCCCCTAACCTTTCTGGCCAATTTCTCTGACACAGCCAAGGCTTTTCCTACACAACAACGTGCAGAAAAAAGAAAATGAAACTCCAAGGAAAAAAATGCAGCTTCAAACCATGTCAAGCAAGCTGCCCCATGCAACAGGCACAGGCTGTAGGACTAGAGAGGGGGACAAAGAGAAGGGAAGGCTTGCACAACAAATTCAGAAATTAATTAAAAGAGATGTTTTTCAAAGAGCACAAAGTAAATTATTTGGAGAAAGAACAAACCCAAAAAAATCATTCTTAGCTGTTTCCCTCATCGCATGGGCTGCAAAGCACAGGTGGTTTTTGAGCACAAAACAAACATTCTTTAAAACACCACGTGTCAGAAGGACACGAAACCCCGACAGAAACTTGGCAGAGGGGAGGATGAAGACGCCCCAAGCCATGGGGAAAGGAGGTTTTGGGGGTGCCTGTACCTCGTTTCCCAGCAGGGCAGACACACAAGCCTCCGAGGCGTCGCAGATGGCGGTGAGGTCGTGGCCACCCTCGAGGGCCAGCACGACGCGGCCCCCAGCCAGCCCCATCAGCTGCTTCGTCAGGTACCCGAAGCCTGCAACGAGGGAACAGAGGAAATGCAGGAGAAGGGCAAAGGTGGCGGCTGGAATCAGGCTCCTGGCGGAGGATCAAAGAATTAGGGAGAGGAATTACATCACATTAAAAACCCAGCGGGGATTTGAAAGGGCTTGGCACATAACACGAGCCAGGTTGGGCTTTTTCATTCCAGCCACGGCTTCCCTGGGATGGAACCATGTGTCCCCCACCAAGCACCGCCTCGGCTGAGAGCATCCCCTTGCCACCCCTCAGCACCCCAAATTAAAGCCAGCAGCCAACATGGAAGCAGGGAAAGGGACGGATTTCTGCTGGATGCTGCTTTGGGGGAAGGAGGAGGAAGAGGAATAAGCCCAGTTTGGGTCGGGATAGTAGCAGAGCAGTGCCCCAGAGAGATTTAGGTTTGACATCTCGTTCTCAGCAGACGGCTCTTCCCGTCCATAATATGCTATAAAAATTCCAGGGGCACGCGGCACTTTGATCAGATGACACACAATACATTTCTGCCCCCTTTAAACAAAACAGAACCAAGCGGCGAGGATTTAAAAAATGTGTCCTCAAAGCAACCTTCCCCCTCCAGGAGAAGGAAAAAAAAAAAAAATCTAAAAGCCAAACAAAGGAAAAGCCAGGGAATTTCTCCCCTCCATCTCCACTCCCTGCTTTCCACTTTGGAGCAAACGCCTTTTCGAGTGGACAAATTAACAAATTAACAGGCAATGAAAAACATCCACTGCTGAGCCCATAACTGGCTTTGTGAGAGGAGCAGAGCATGGCAAATTGAAACAGCAGGTAAACAAAACCTTCCCTTTCCCAACTGTTTCTGGATATCTCAAGGAACTTGTCTCCTGTAAACCTATTGCACTTTATTCTTATATAAAGTTTATAGGTTCAGCTCCCTTACGAGGTTTTAAAGTTCACTGTAGAGAACAACCTTCCTGGCTGGAACAAACTCTTAAAAAATAATAATAAAACCCTTTTTGCAAGAAAAACTGTCCTCTGGACTCATTTGAATGAAATGGTGCCAGGTGAACTCCAGATAACCTGGGGGGGATTTCAGTGCATCTCCCAAAAACATCCCAGACCCGAAGCAAAGAGGAGGGTTTGTGTGTCTCTGTAATTAATTCAAAGGTGGGGAGCAGAAATATTCAGCTCAAAATTTTAATAAGGTGTCCTGAAGGAAGAAATGGATTTGTGGTAGCAACGAGAATGTTTACAGCTGGTATAGCCTTTTCTGCAATTTTATATTAATGCCAGCAAAACTCTTTAATTTAGCAGAGATGTGACTACAAATAAATTACATAATATTACATATTGAATATTTCAAAGCTGAAATATGTAATGTTAAAAAAATAATAAAATTAAGGCTTCAACCAAGCCAAAATATGCATTATAAAAAGATAAATGCCATGAAAATTCAAAGAAAAAGGATGGAAGTTTTGCCGTTGAAATGAAAGATCTGAAATAGATCCTGCAAAGTAAAATCTGGGAACACTCTCCTTTAATCCTTTAAGGACAGCAGCAGAAGTAAAGCCCCCACTTACATTTTGCTGACAGATTATATCCTCCAAGGGGTGTGGGGTGCCCTTCCACAGCATCGAAACCAGATGACACCAGAACAACGTCTGGGGCAAACTCGTTGGCAATGGGCATCACTACTGTCCTGCAACACAAAATATCCACAGCACACGTGTTAGGGAGGCTCCTGAGCAAAGGCAGGGGTGTTCCCACCCTCTCACCAAACCCTTATTCCATGGCAGCAAAGCCCATCTCTTTCCCTAATTTTAGGAGAGCCAGGCTGGAAGAACTCCTGCACTCTCTGAGATTTCCTCCAATGAGTTGTCACCCCTTGTGTTGCCCATTTGGGATCACATCCTGCTTTACGTACATGGGAATAAGGGTAAAATACGAGGGCATCGGGCACAGGCTGCAAAACCACCTGGGAAACCTCACCCCATGGCATTATCTTCAAGTCCTCCCCCAAAACATCTCCTCTAGGCTTTGCTAAGTGATTCCTTCCTTGCTGCACTTCTCATTTCCCACAATGAAAAGCTGGGAGTGTCCCATCCTCTGTCTGCATCCATGGCGCAGAACAGATTTAGAATGCAAATATCCCAGCTAAATCCACTTCTGCCAACGCTGCTTTCTCACCCAAATCCACCTCTCCCAATGCCAGTTCCCCATCCTCTGACGTTTTGTTCACTAAGAAATGGATGGAAGTGCTCAGCATCCCCATCCTATTGATGGTTCAAGTTGTATTTAAATGAAACAAGGGGTCTGTTCCTGGGGTTTCTCACCAAAAGGCCTTTTTCCCCTCTGATTTCTCTCTCTCCAAACTCCACAATTTCTCCTCAAAACCAACACGAGGTTGTAACATCCCATTCCCCACATGAAGAAGCACTTCCCAAATTATGTTTTTTCCACTGTAACTGCACCTACTGAATTCTGGATGCATCTCTAGGGCAACCTGACCTGTAATTTTCCCATTTCCCCATCCTAGGAACAGCCACCAGCCAGGATAACTTTCTACAGCAGGAACTGAAGTTATTTTACCCACATCCCAAAGCATGGACCTGTAAATATCTTTGCACACATGAGAACTTCACTCTTTACTGAGTCGAGTCTTTATGTGATGCTCTAAAAACAGAGCCCAGGGGGGTCTGTTCCGTGCTGAGATGGCTCAAGTGCTATCAGGATGCTCATAAAAGCTCCCTGGTTTTTGCCATGAGGATATTAAACAGCCATGAGACATCTGCCACAGTCAGCAGCTCGTGACATCCAGCTGAGCTTGAGTTTATTTTTAACGGGGCATCAACCTCTGCCAGGCACTGAGCAAACCCATCCCCAAGTCTCCAGTGCCACCCCGGAGCAGGGACAGGCACCCACACACCAAACCCCGCCCCATCACCTCCCAGCTTTATTTTTTTTCCCAGTTTTTGCCACAGCAACTCTAGAGCCTCCTGCAACTGCTGCCGATGGCTGCACTCAGACACGGAGACCTCTGCGAGAAAAAAGGGATATAATTTTCCCTTAATCTGCACAAAATCCCAACAAGGAATTTGAATTTTCTCCTCTAACGGCGTGATTGCCCCTCTCCATTTTGCCCTGGGGGGATGACTGCGTGAGGAAGACAAGAGCACAGTTGTGGCTGGTGACTTTACAGTTTGGTAGAATCCACAGAAATTTTTAGGAGAAGCCACCCCCTTCCCCAAGGCCTGAAGCAGCAATTCCAGAGCAAGTGCAGCAGCCAAGGGCTTATTTTCCCTGAGCTTTGAAGTGCTGCTGAGCTCTCTCGTTCCTAACCCAAAGAAAACTGCTCAAATCATCAGATTTATTCCCCACCCCCTCGAATTCCGACGCCGTGGGAGCTGCTGGGATCTCAGTGGAAGCGTGGGATCACCAGAGCCAGCCCCAACCTGCACCCCCAAGGGGTGGGGACGGCCCATCAGCACTGAGCAACCCATGGGACCACGGACCCACAGGGATTCTCAGCCGTGGGCCAGCATATGGAGCACAGAATGGCTGGGAAGGACCTTAAACACCATCTCATCCCAACCCCTGGCACCCCGGGTATCCAATCCTGCCAATCACAGAGGATCCTGGGGCAGCTGGTGACGGGCAGCTGGAGGTGGCTGTGGGTGACAGTGACAGAGTGACACCTCCAGCACAGCCACACGGCCCCCAGGGCTAACCCTGAACGCTGCCAGGGGCAGCTTTAGGAGAGGAAAAGCCCTTCTTCCTAATTCCAGTAGGACACCAGCATCCCAAAGCCACAGCCACAGCTCTGTCTGATGCTCTCCACTGATGTAAAACTTGATCCAGGAGGGTCAAAGCCAGCATTCCACCACTTTGCCCTTTTAATTGTAAGAAAAAAAATGACAAAAATCCGGTGTGTTTCTGAGATTCCGTCTGTGTACAGCGTTTTGGACACATCTCATCCAGCTTTTTGCTTTTTCATTTTGCCTTGTCCACAGATAAAACCAGCCCCTTTGCTCAGATCCACCCCAGTACAGCCAAACTCTGCAGATGAAACAAACTGCAAACAGCCCCATGGCTTTGCTCTGCTGACGAGACTATTAAAAAGCCAGAAATTCAAATTATTACCCAGGAGATAAGCAGTTCTGCCTGGAATTGGATCTTTCAAGGAATGGCTGAGGTGGCTGTAAAGTTATTCACTGAGGAATGAATATTCCTAACAATGAATATTCATTCCATCCACGTAGAATTTCTTAAAAATCAAGGAAAAGTGAAATTCCCAAATTTCAGAGGCTTGCTTTGCTTGCTTAAAATAAATGAAATCTCTTTATTTGCCTGGTTACAGCTGAGCTGAACAGCTCTACACAAGAGCAAACTGATGGCTGCAACCAGCAAAACCTCCCCATTGTGTTCTGCAATCACTTGGGAGAGAGGAAACAAAAATAAATGCAATTTTAGATCTATTTTCCAGAAGGCTGAATGAACAATTTTTAGCCTGGCATTAGCCAATTCCCCAATTAAATGCCTAATAAACGACAGGCAGATGAAACAATCCTACAGAGGATTATTTTGGGCTTTAAATGCTCAATTGCAGTGAGTAAATTGGTTAAGCTTAGAAGGCTGAACACTTTTTTAGAGATTTTTTCCTGACACTCGGCCACATCTATGTTTTATGTATATTTTTATATATGCTATGTATATATGTATATATATTAAGTGTATATATNCTGCTTCCCTTTCCAAGTGCATCCTGCACCCACAGGTGGATGGAGCCAGAGGAATTGTCTTTGGTGACCACTTAAAACAGATGGGTGCTACAATGTACACCTCACAGAATCCCAGGATGGTCTGGCTTACATGGGAGCTTAAAGCCCGTCCAGTTGTACCCCCTGCCGTGGGCAGGGACACCTTCCCCGATCCCACGTTGCTTCAAACCTTATCCAACCTGGCCTTGGACACTTCCAGGGATCCAGGGGCAGCCACAGCTTCTCTGGGCAACCTGTGCCAGGGCCTCACCACTGGAGCCTCCCTGTTTCCATGCTGATGTGGCAGCTGCCTCCCGAGTTTTCAGCTGTCTCGAGGGCTGAGTGCAGGCTGGAGCCATTCCCCGTGCCCAGAGCTTTCTCAGAACTGCCTGGCCAAGCAAAAGGAGCAGGATGCTCCCTGGACACTGGGAGCTGGGATGCTGGATCAGGTGTTTCTGATGAATCTGGTTTCTCTCCTGGCTCGGCTACTCCAGGCTTCCCCTTAATGCTGAGTGTGGATACTCCAAGACAGAGCACTTGTCCAACAGGCTGGAAGTCAAACTGCTCCACACCTCCATGCAGATCCAAGCTCCCTGCCCATCTCCCCAGACACCTGATGATCACTGAAGTCCCCAGAAATCTCCCACTGTCTCCCACTGGAGACAGACCCACTGCTTGGCCCCTCTTGGTGCTGCACCTCAGCCCAAACTAACCATACTCAAAAGCCCCCAGACATGGTTTCAAGGTGCACAAGAGGGGGTTTAGGTTGGATATTAGGGAAAATTCCTTCACTGGAAGTGTGCTCAGGCATTGAGTCAGGCTGCCCAGGGCAGTGGTGGAGTCACCATCCCTGCAGGGTTTTCAAAGATGTGCAGATGTAGTGTTCCTTCTGTCATCCCACTGACTAAAAGTGGGGGGAAAGGCAGAAAAGATGGAGTCTCTACAGTTTTCACTGTAGGAAAATACCCTGAGCTCATAAGAATCCAACATCTTGCTGTACTTCTCTGTCTGGCTCTTATCTTGCAACCATCCCCCCCCTAACCTTTCTGGCCAATTTCTCTGACACAGCCAAGGCTTTTCCTACACAACAACGTGCAGAAAAAAGAAAATGAAACTCCAAGGAAAAAAATGCAGCTTCAAACCATGTCAAGCAAGCTGCCCCATGCAACAGGCACAGGCTGTAGGACTAGAGAGGGGGACAAAGAGAAGGGAAGGCTTGCACAACAAATTCAGAAATTAATTAAAAGAGATGTTTTTCAAAGAGCACAAAGTAAATTATTTGGAGAAAGAACAAACCCAAAAAAATCATTCTTAGCTGTTTCCCTCATCGCATGGGCTGCAAAGCACAGGTGGTTTTTGAGCACAAAACAAACATTCTTTAAAACACCACGTGTCAGAAGGACACGAAACCCCGACAGAAACTTGGCAGAGGGGAGGATGAAGACGCCCCAAGCCATGGGGAAAGGAGGTTTTGGGGGTGCCTGTACCTCGTTTCCCAGCAGGGCAGACACACAAGCCTCCGAGGCGTCGCAGATGGCGGTGAGGTCGTGGCCACCCTCGAGGGCCAGCACGACGCGGCCCCCAGCCAGCCCCATCAGCTGCTTCGTCAGGTACCCGAAGCCTGCAACGAGGGAACAGAGGAAATGCAGGAGAAGGGCAAAGGTGGCGGCTGGAATCAGGCTCCTGGCGGAGGATCAAAGAATTAGGGAGAGGAATTACATCACATTAAAAACCCAGCGGGGATTTGAAAGGGCTTGGCACATAACACGAGCCAGGTTGGGCTTTTTCATTCCAGCCACGGCTTCCCTGGGATGGAACCATGTGTCCCCCACCAAGCACCGCCTCGGCTGAGAGCATCCCCTTGCCACCCCTCAGCACCCCAAATTAAAGCCAGCAGCCAACATGGAAGCAGGGAAAGGGACGGATTTCTGCTGGATGCTGCTTTGGGGGAAGGAGGAGGAAGAGGAATAAGCCCAGTTTGGGTCGGGATAGTAGCAGAGCAGTGCCCCAGAGAGATTTAGGTTTGACATCTCGTTCTCAGCAGACGGCTCTTCCCGTCCATAATATGCTATAAAAATTCCAGGGGCACGCGGCACTTTGATCAGATGACACACAATACATTTCTGCCCCCTTTAAACAAAACAGAACCAAGCGGCGAGGATTTAAAAAATGTGTCCTCAAAGCAACCTTCCCCCTCCAGGAGAAGGAAAAAAAAAAAAAATCTAAAAGCCAAACAAAGGAAAAGCCAGGGAATTTCTCCCCTCCATCTCCACTCCCTGCTTTCCACTTTGGAGCAAACGCCTTTTCGAGTGGACAAATTAACAAATTAACAGGCAATGAAAAACATCCACTGCTGAGCCCATAACTGGCTTTGTGAGAGGAGCAGAGCATGGCAAATTGAAACAGCAGGTAAACAAAACCTTCCCTTTCCCAACTGTTTCTGGATATCTCAAGGAACTTGTCTCCTGTAAACCTATTGCACTTTATTCTTATATAAAGTTTATAGGTTCAGCTCCCTTACGAGGTTTTAAAGTTCACTGTAGAGAACAACCTTCCTGGCTGGAACAAACTCTTAAAAAATAATAATAAAACCCTTTTTGCAAGAAAAACTGTCCTCTGGACTCATTTGAATGAAATGGTGCCAGGTGAACTCCACATAACCTGGGGGGGATTTCAGTGCATCTCCCAAAAACATCCCAGACCCGAAGCAAAGAGGAGGGTTTGTGTGTCTCTGTAATTAATTCAAAGGTGGGGAGCAGAAATATTCAGCTCAAAATTTTAATAAGGTGTCCTGAAGGAAGAAATGGATTTGTGGTAGCAACGAGAATGTTTACAGCTGGTATAGCCTTTTCTGCAATTTTATATTAATGCCAGCAAAACTCTTTAATTTAGCAGAGATGTGACTACAAATAAATTACATAATATTACATATTGAATATTTCAAAGCTGAAATATGTAATGTTAAAAAAATAATAAAATTAAGGCTTCAACCAAGCCAAAATATGCATTATAAAAAGATAAATGCCATGAAAATTCAAAGAAAAAGGATGGAAGTTTTGCCGTTGAAATGAAAGATCTGAAATAGATCCTGCAAAGTAAAATCTGGGAACACTCTCCTTTAATCCTTTAAGGACAGCAGCAGAAGTAAAGCCCCCACTTACATTTTGCTGACAGATTATATCCTCCAAGGGGTGTGGGGTGCCCTTCCACAGCATCGAAACCAGATGACACCAGAACAACGTCTGGGGCAAACTCGTTGGCAATGGGCATCACTACTGTCCTGCAACACAAAATATCCACAGCACACGTGTTAGGGAGGCTCCTGAGCAAAGGCAGGGGTGTTCCCACTCTCTCACCAAACCCTTATTCCATGGCAGCAAAGCCCATCTCTTTCCCTAATTTTAGGAGAGCCAGGCTGGAAGAACTCCTGCACTCTCTGAGAGTTCCTCCAATGAGTTGTCACCCCTTGTGTTGCCCATTTGGGATCACATCCTGCTTTACGTACATGGGAATAAGGGTAAAATACGAGGGCATCGGGCACAGGCTGCAAAACCACCTGGGAAACCTCACCCCATGGCATTATCTTCAAGTCCTCCCCCAAAACATCTCCTCTAGGCTTTGCTAAGTGATTCCTTCCTTGCTGCACTTCTCATTTCCCACAATGAAAAGCTGGGAGTGTCCCATCCTCTGTCTGCATCCATGGCGCAGAACAGATTTAGAATGCAAATATCCCAGCTAAATCCACTTCTGCCAACGCTGCTTTCTCACCCAAATCCACCTCTCCCAATGCCAGTTCCCCATCCTCTGACGTTTTGTTCACTAAGAAATGGATGGAAGTGCTCAGCATCCCCATCCTATTGATGGTTCAAGTTGTATTTAAATGAAACAAGGGGTCTGTTCCTGGGGTTTCTCACCAAAAGGCCTTTTTCCCCTCTGATTTCTCTCTCTCCAAACTCCACAATTTCTCCTCAAAACCAACACGAGGTTGTAACATCCCATTCCCCACATCAAGAAGCACTTCCCAAATTATGTTTTTTCCACTGTAACTGCACCTACTGAATTCTGGATGCATCTCTAGGGCAACCTGACCTGTAATTTTCCCATTTCCCCATCCTAGGAACAGCCACCAGCCAGGATAACTTTCTACAGCAGGAACTGAAGTTATTTTACCCACATCCCAAAGCATGGACCTGTAAATATCTTTGCACACATGAGAACTTCACTCTTTACTGAGTCGAGTCTTTATGTGATGCTCTAAAAACAGAGCCCAGGGGGGTCTGTTCCGTGCTGAGATGGCTCAAGTGCTATCAGGATGCTCATAAAAGCTCCCTGGTTTTTGCCATGAGGATATTAAACAGCCATGAGACATCTGCCACAGTCAGCAGCTCGTGACATCCAGCTGAGCTTGAGTTTATTTTTAACGGGGCATCAACCTCTGCCAGGCACTGAGCAAACCCATCCCCAAGTCTCCAGTGCCACCCCGGAGCAGGGACAGGCACCCACACACCAAACCCCGCCCCATCACCTCCCAGCTTTATTTTTTTTCCCAGTTTTTGCCACAGCAACTCTAGAGCCTCCTGCAACTGCTGCCGATGGCTGCACTCAGACACGGAGACCTCTGCGAGAAAAAAGGGATATAATTTTCCCTTAATCTGCACAAAATCCCAACAAGGAATTTGAATTTTCTCCTCTAACGGCGTGATTGCCCCTCTCCATTTTGCCTTGGGGGGATGACTGCGTGAGGAAGACAAGAGCACAGTTGTGAGTGGTGACTTTACAGTTTGGTAGAATCCACAGAAATTTTTAGGAGAAGCCACCTCCTTCCCCAAGGCCTGAAGCAGCAATTCCAGAGCAAGTGCAGCAGCCAAGGGCTTATTTTCCCTGAGCTTTGAAGTGCTGCTGAGCTCTCTCGTTCCTAACCCAAAGAAAACTGCTCAAATCATCAGATTTATTCCCCACCCCCTCGAATTCCGACGCCGTGGGAGCTGCTGGGATCTCAGTGGAAGCGTGGGATCACCAGAGCCAGCCCCAACCTGCACCCCCAAGGGGTGGGGACGGCCCATCAGCACTGAGCAACCCATGGGACCACGGACCCACAGGGATTCTCAGCCGTGGGCCAGCATATGGAGCACAGAATGGCTGGGAAGGACCTTAAACACCATCTCATCCCAACCCCTGGCACCCCGGGTATCCAATCCTGCCAATCGCAGAGGATCCTGGGGCAGCTGGTGACGGGCAGCTGGAGGTGGCTGTGGGTGACAGTGACAGAGTGACACCTCCAGCACAGCCACACGGCCCCCAGGGCTAACCCTGAACCCTGCCAGGGGCAGCTTTAGGAGAGGAAAAGCCCTTCTTCCTAATTCCAGTAGGACACCAGCATCCCAAAGCCACAGCCACAGCTCTGTCTGATGCTCTCCACTGATGTAAAACTTGATCCAGGAGGCTCAAAGCCAGCATTCCACCACTTTGCCCTTTTAATTGTAAGAAAAAAATGACAAAAATCCGGTGTGTTTCTGAGATTCCGTCTGTGTACAGCGTTTTGGACACATCTCATCCAGCTTTTTGCTTTTTCATTTTCCCTTGTCCACAGATAAAACCAGCCCCTTTGCTCAGATCCACCCCAGTACAGCCAAACTCTGCAGATGAAACAAACTGCAAACAGCCCCATGGCTTTGCTCTGCTGACGAGACTATTAAAAAGCCAGAAATTCAAATTATTACCCAGGAGATAAGCAGTTCTGCCTGGAATTGGATCTTTCAAGGAATGGCTGAGGTGGCTGTAAAGTTATTCACTGAGGAATGAATATTCCTAACAATGAATATTCATTCCATCCACGTAGAATTTTTTAAAAATCAAGGAAAACTGAAATTCCCAAATTTCAGAGGCTTGCTTTGCTTGCTTAAAATAAATGAAATCTCTTTATTTGCCTGGTTACAGCTGAGCTGAACAGCTCTACACAAGAGCAAACTGATGGCTGCAACCAGCAAAACCTCCCCATTGTGTTCTGCAATCACTTGGGAGAGAGGAAACAAAAATAAATGCAATTTTAGATCTATTTTCCAGAAGGCTGAATGAACAATTTTTAGCCTGGCATTAGCCAATTCCCCAATTAAATGCCTAATAAACGACAGGCAGATGAAACAATCCTACAGAGGATTATTTTGGGCTTTAAATGCTCAATTGCAGTGAGTAAATTGGTTAAGCTTAGAAGGCTGAACACTTTTTATGTATCTATTGGCATATTTTTTATTTCATATATATCATGTGTATATTTCGATATATGTTATGCATATATAGTTTTATACACGTTATATATTTGATATAAATAAACTGAAAATGTTATCCACTGCTCCTCAGGCTAACCAGCTTCCCGAAAATTCCAGTCTTTGCTTCTCCATGGTCATTTACTGTGTCAAAAGGGATTAGGAATGCGGGGATGAAATCGGCATGGGGAGAGCATGAAATCGAAAATACAGCAACAACCGTTCCAGGCAAAACATCATCATCTCTTCCCCCTCCTCTTCCTCCTCCTTGCTCCTGAAATGGTTTACAGATCAAGGGAAAAGCCCAAATCCCCCCAAAACTGGTTCCTGAACTTGTTTAATGCTTTTTGAAAGTGGCAGGAGGAGGAGGGGGAAGTGCAGTCCTGGCTTTTTCCTCCCGCTTAAGGTGCTTTAAATAAAGTCGAATGTGGAATTGAGCTGTACGTGGAATTATGGCTGTGGAAGAGACTTCAGGACAGGGGAAAAAATTCTTAGACACAATACAAATGCTGGAATCATCAGGAAAACTTCCTTGCAGTAAGCTCAGAGGGAAACTCCTGCAGATAAAACATTTTTAATTTCACTAATTGCTGTTCCTGTGTAATAAGGAACCAGCCGGAGCCTTCCCATTTCTCCTGCAGGTCTCAGCTGGGTTTGCACCTGGATCAGGAGGATTGAGAGAGGCAAACAGGATTTCTGCTCATATAAAATGTTAGGGAACAACAAATCCTGGTCCAAAAATCCCCTCCGAATTTTACAATGTTTGTTTCTGTAACTACGGAACAACAGCGCAGGCACCAGGAACGTTCTGAGGAGTTCAGGACTTTGGGAACTGTGTGCCCTGCGTTTTTCCCATTAAACTGACCCCATTCCTGCCTGATCTGTGCACTCTGGGATTGGCCACACGCTCAGGGGGTGAGTTCAGGCGTGGGATGTGGAGCTGCTCCAGCATAGCCGAGTCTACCACACGGTGCAGGAGCTCCAGGCTCCCAGAAAACTCCCCAAACCCCTTCTGATCATCCCCACACACAAAAACAGGGCACCCCAACCTGCACCGGGGACAGGCAGTGATTTCAGCCCCAGGTTAGGAAGGTAACAAGTGACAAAATGCAGGGAAAAGCACATTTTTAACTCCGGTTCTCATTTCTGATACGTCTCGGTGGCACTGAGGACCATCCAGAGGCCAGGAGAGCTTGGGAACCCCAATGCTGAGGAGATAATATCTGGAGATAGGATGAAAATCACTGATGTGATTTCCCATCGTTTTTTGGACAGAGCAAACCCACTCTGAAACAGGTTTTCAGCATGGGGAGGAGCAGTTTCACTGGGATTTATTTATTTATTCCCTCATTTCTCTCGTTTAGAAGGACACTTATCTCAGTTATTTTTATTTCTTAAACCCACACACTGGCTCCTCCTGAAATACTACAAGAAAAAAGCAAGGAGCATGTATCTTACTTAAGTATCTGTTCCTTTTACACAGAAAAAAAAGACTTTTTTCCCTAAAACCAGGCAGGCATATGAAGAGTTAAGGCTTGGGAAAAAAAAAAAAAAAAAAAAAAAAAAAAGAAGAAAAAGTCTATCAGTATCTTTGCCTAGCTCAAAGGATTTCCACTGATTCCTCTCCAGACTTCAAAGCCTCACAGTTTGGCATTCGGACTGGTTTGAATTAAAGCTCAGTTCTCCACTGCGAGTTTCCAAGTTCATGGTGAAAATGCCTCCTGCTTCTGGAGTTCATTATGGCCAATTTTCTTATCTTTTCTTCATCTTCGGTTTGATCCCCAGCAAATGCAACGTGGCATTCGACGGGGTGGAATAACAAGGTGCTGCCTTGAAGGCATGTATTGTCTCAAGGGGCTAAAGCAAGAAAAGAAGGGGGAAAAAAATAGGATATATGACCCATTCCCTTCACTTTCTAACTCTCGGGGGACTATAAATTGCAAACTTCAAAGCATTATTTTACATTAAAATCAATAGAAAGATTCAGGGGGTGGGGGTGGGGGGGAAAAATGTTTTTCAAAGGAGCTGGTTAAGATTTGAAAAGGTCACTTGATAATGTATTATCATGGCCAAACTTGGCATAGGATGAAAAAGAAGCTTCTCGTTTAACTTAGGGTTAAACTGAAGGTGTGTAGGCTCCAGGAGGAGCATCCCTCAGCTCCCCCAAAACTCCCCAAAATAATGGCTGTGATCAGCTCCAGAGGCTGTGCCCTAAACAGCTGCAGCATCCAGGCAAGCAGAGCCCAGGAATGGCTGGCAAAAGCCTCACTGTGCAGCCCTGAGCCTTTTCCAAGAGCCTGGAAACTCATTTCATGTCCCCGTGTCCCCAGCTCTGGGTGCTCTGGCTGATGATGGGACCCATCCTGGGCACTGCTGGGAACAGGCAGGCTTGCACTCTGAGCAAAGTGCTGCCTTCCTGGGGCCAGGAGTGACACAAATGGCAGTGATGTGTGTCATTGTAAATGGTGTGTGCTCTCTGAGGACTTTTTGATGGCAGAACGAAGAGGGGGAAAAGGGCGCTTTTTGCTCAGCAACAGGACATGACAGGGAAGAGTAGAAAATAATGCTCCCGGATTTAATGCTGTTCCAAGCAGGTGATATTCTAGAAACTCACACCCCATGTTCTGGCAAGTGTGTGTCTGTGTGAATGCAGGCCACCAGAGGTGCACTAAAGCTGGTGTGAGGACAGAAAACCACTTCAGATTGTTAATGGAGAGGCCAGGCAGACCCCGTGGCACAGGGGTGGGACAGGAGAGTGTCTAAGAAAAATCACGGAATGGTTTGGGTGGGAAGAAGACTTCAAGTTCATGCGATGCCACCCCTGCCATAGGGCAGGGACATCTTCCACTAGCCCAGGTGGCTCCAAGTCCCAGTGCCCAGCCTGGCCTTGGACACTTCCAGGGATCCAGGGGCAGCCACAGCTTCTCTGGGTACCCTGTGCCAGGGCCTCTTTTGGATGAATAATATTAAAATTTTAAAGCTTATCAAAAGCACAATCAAGAAGGATGGCACGAGGAGAAAGAAACCCAGCTGAGATAAAAAATACATTTGTGAGAGGGAAAATTCAGTAGTACCTGAAGGCAGTTAAATATTCTGTGTCTCCCATGGGCGGATCCAGGCCACCAGTAAATGCCATGTTAACATTGAAACCAACTCCTGCTCCTGTGCCAACCTGGAAAAGGGAAATGGGACTCTTGATTAGCAAATTCTGGCAACACATCTTTGCTCTTTAGATGTTCTCCCAGTTGAATTTGGATTTGGATTAGTAGTGAGGTTGATTAGTCCCTGATCCCAAAAACAAGAGGGAAAATAAAGCTCCTCCACACTCAGATCAGTATGGGAGCTGAGGACCAGTTTTGTTTGACTGCTGCTCACCCAAAAAAAATCCCATCATCTACTGCACCCTCTTGATTTTTTTTTTGCAGCAGAGTGTGCTGCATGTAATACCTTTCCATAATTCATTTTCAGCTTGATTCAGGAGCATATTTTATATTTCACTACAGTTGCAGATGGGGGAAAAAATGTATTTTAATCAGAGTGAGCTCCCCCTCTGCTGGAGAAGAATAGGATTCACAGAGAAGGGATTTTGGCCGCTTGAGGGACACGTGGGTGGGACATGCAAATACATCCCTTTCCTTGCTTATACTGCAAATGTCCCCATCTGCCCTGCCTGTGACTACCTGAGAGAGGGGAAAACTGAAAAATAAACCAGGGGCTTCCAGCACGTTAAATTTTTTTTTGTCCAGAAGGTCTTTGCATATGAAAAAAAAAAGAATTAAGAAGTGACGATTAATGTGTTGCACAGCTGGATAAAACTGCACGGCTTTTACTGCACATTATTCCTCGTACTGGTGCAAATATTTTTGCTAAAAAAACACAGGGGTGGGTGTTCATCTACCCACAGTTATTTAGCCATTGTTGGCTTAAATCAAACTTGTTTTGTATCCTTTCTTTTACTTGGTCTAAAATGACACATCTAAAAATGACCCTTTTTGTAAACCAGATTGTTAAAAAGCAGGAATTAAGCCTGATGCAAAGGGCTGCTGTTCCTTCACAAAAGGGTGATGGAGCAGCATCACATCACATTTAAGAGGTTTAAATGGAGACACTGATGTTTTTCTCAAGCAGAAAATGCAAAATTGACAGGGGAAGAAGTTTTCATATGTCACCTGGAGAGTCTCAGAGCACTCTAAGTATTCCATAAAATTTCCTTTTGCTATATCACTCTGAAGGACCATATTTCCTGCCAGCCCAGAGGGAAAGGAAGGATGAACTCCAGGAACAACCAGAACTCAGCCCTCAGCTCCACTGGCCCAGCCCTCCTGCTGCAGGCTCTGAGGACACCACCAGCAAAGGGGGTTTGCTCCAGCAGCATCCTTGACCGGCCCTCAAATCCCACAAATTTGGGGTGGAGGTGCAGCCTTGGTGGTAGTGAGCAATGCCTGGGCAGGGCCAGGAGAAAGAAGGGGAGGTGGAGAAGGGCCAGGAGAAGGGGAGGGTGGAGAAAGAGACGTGGAGAAGGGGAGGCAGACAGGCTCCATGGCTGTGCCAGGAAAAGCGAGCATGGGTGGTGCAGCCATGGACAATCTGTTCCTTCTGCATCTAAGCAACAACTTCTGCCGAGGAAGGGGAAATCCCGAACAGGACATGGAGTGCTGGGACAGCTGGCAGACGGCTCCTCTGGAACAGGTTGTCCCCCAAGGGCTGGAGAGCTTTAATTGCAGTGACTCATTGCTCCAGCTCCGGCCGGGACACTGTGCCCGCGGCTGTCACACAACACGGACCTGGTGTGTCCTTGGACGGGAACAAAAACCCAGAGGAGATCTGGCAAGGTGGCAGGGGCTCCTCTGAGTCCCAGGACTCCGGAATCCATGTGCTCACCTCGTCTGGAGCGCCGCTGCCTGGGAAGAAGTTGCCGTCATCGTAGCGATGTAGTGAGATATAAAGGACATTGGGATCGTTGTAGAAGGCCTGCTGAGTACCATTCCCATGGTGGACATCCTGCAGGGACAGGGAGCACAGCAGGGAGGTTAATCCTTCAGGAGAAACATGGATTAAAGGCATCAGTTTGGATTTGGAGGGGTTTTCTTCACTGTTGAGCTTCGTTTTCTCCAACCTGGCTGAAGCAGTTCTTGGGGAATGGGAATAACCTGCTTTGCACACCTGGTTTGAGATGATACTCCTTGTTTAACACATGGGATAAACACAATCCCAAATGTCTGCCAAACTGAGGATTCATTTACCTTGATGGAAAGACCAATCCTGAGGGGATGAAGATACTGGGATATTTGTTGCCCCACATCTGCATCTTTAGTCTGTCTGTGGGGTGAGCACTGATCCAAATAAAGCTCTGTTGGATCCAGGTTAAACAACACAACCCACGAGAGCTCCCCTCTTGAGCTGCTGTGTGGTGCACAAACCCAGTCTGTGACAGGACAGAAATTGAAACAAATTTCATGTCCCTCCCTGACATGAAAAACAGGTCAGAAGTGAGGGAAAAAACATCCATCCAGTAGGTCCAAAAGGCAAAATAAATGCATTTTAACCTGCGGGTTTAACTGGTGGGTGATTTGTAGCAACAGAACCAAAACCTTTGGCTGCTATCCAGTCACTCCAATGCTTCCTAGCCACATAAAATCTATTAAAAAATAAACGTCTATAAATTGCCACAGCAGAATCTCAAAGAAGCCCTTTCCTTTCATTTGAAAATTGCAGTCCCTTTACGAATTTCTTCTCTGATTAGAACACTTTTGCTCAATTAAAACCTCAAATTTTGTCTTGCAGACCACGAGCAAGAAGTTTTTCACTGACTTACAGACTGAATTTTCACTGATTTCCCTTGCAGGAAGAAACCCACATCGAACAATTTTCACCTGCTCTCCCCAAAGGGAAAGAAGGGGCATTTACTCACCCAGTCCACGATGAGGATTTTGCTCACGTTGAGCCTTTGCTGGAGCAGCTTGGCTGCGATTGCCACGGAGTTAAAATAGCAGAAACCCCTGGGGAGGGGACACAAGAGAAAACAAAGGTGTTAATTACAGCTTCCCATGGTGCCAGACCCATCACCTAGATGGAACACAGGAGGAAAGATTCCTTCTGCTCTCACTCTTCCTTTCTCCCTGGAAATATGGAAAGGCTTATGTTGGGAGGGACCTTGAAGCTCATCTTGCTCCATGGGCAGGGACACCTTCCACTAGATTCATTTCCCACTGGAAGTGCTGAATTCCAGCAGCAGGCCCCAGGGAAACTCGTCCCACACCTGCCCAAATCCACTGCTGATCCTTGCTAGGAAACACTCCCAAAAAGCACTGAGCAGGATCTTACCCTGCTCCAGGGAATCCGGGGAGCTTTGAACACCACACATCTCATCTACCAAGAAACAGAAACTCCACAGCACTAACCTAACAGAACTCCTTTGGAATTTCCAGCTGTGCACCTCCCATCAAAGGAGCCCTAGATGAAGCCAGTGAACCCCATACTCACATGGGTGTGCTCTCCTCTGCATGGTGACCCGGGGGCCGGACAACAGCAAATCCGTTCTGCACACAAAACACAAGGACAGGAAAAGGTCAGAGGGACAAGGATGGACGCAGGGGGTGCAGCCAGAAGCCTTAATCCTGCTTGGGAACTCTGGAGCTGCTCTTGGTGGATTCCTCAAAAGGTCACGGCAGTGGATGATGCTTTCCCTCGTTGTGGAGGGGAAAAAGGTCCTGGAGCTGCTGCACAGCAGAGCCCTGAGCAGAGCCCAGCACAGAGCACAGCTGGGGCTGTTTTCATACCTTCAGTTCTCCTGTGGCCACTTTGAACACCAGCTCGATGACACAGCCCACGGCCAGGCGAGCGGCGCCTGACGAGTGCACCTCGTTCCAAATGGTGTCACTGTCAACCTGATGGGGACACACAGCAACCAGGTCAGCAACAGGGAGGGCAGCCAGGAATCAAGAGACCCCTATCTTATAAAGACATCACTCACACGGGGTGACAGGACAAGGGGAATAGATTTAAACTGAAAGGGAGGGGGTTTATTTCAGATATTGGGGAGGAACTGTCTCTGTGAGGGTGGGCAGGCCCTGGCACAGGGTGCCCAGAGAAGCTGTGGCTGCCCCTCGATCCCTGGAAGTGTCCAAGGCCAGGCTGGAGCAAGCTGGCTAGTGGAAGATGTCCCTGCCCATGGGGACAGGGGACGGAATGAGATGCCCTCTCAGATCCCTTCCAAACCAAAACATTCCATGATTCTGTGAGTCTGTGACCACAGAATCAGCATTTCTCTTTAATTGCTGCTGATCCCAGATGAAATAAAAAAAGCTTTATGAAATAATTTAATGAGTCTTTAAAATAAAAAAATCCACAATAAAGAGGGATGTTTAGCATTGGGCATTTAAAAGATGACTGCCCAGGAGTGACAGCAGCTTCCCTGAGGAACCACAAGCTCACCCACTCTAACAACAGACATTGAGCATCCTCTGCACACAGATTTGCTCCAATGCTAAATATTCAACAGAACCACCCTATTTCCCCCAAAAAATGTGGAAACAGGCCACAGGCAAGGCAAGGCACCCCGCAGGCATGCCTGTGCTGCTGTTACTCCACATCGTGCCACTGGATTCCTCACCAGCTATTTTTCACATATTACTCTGCCCTAAGTGTATTTATGGAAACAATGGCAAAAGGCAGAGATGGGAAGAAAGAGATCATTGGTTGTGCCTGGCTCATGAGCAGTGACAAGTGGTCCCACAGAGGACTGATCTGCCTCCTTCCAAACCATGCTGCAGCCATCACTGGAAGTGATTCCAGCTCCATGATCATGGATGGTATCTGGTAGCATCCACTCCGAGGATGCTTTGGAAGCCAGATTAAACTAGGAAAGCACTTAGAGAACACCAAAAAGCCTCTGGGGAATGCCACTGTGTTGTGTGCAGTGACTCTTTGTGGCCTCAGGGCTCCTCTGGACCCCTGTAAGTTTGGGCAATAACATGGGAACAGCAGCAGGATGGAGTCTGAGTTACATGTGACAGCTCCAGGAACCCTGGATCAGGACTGCACACATGCAGAAGATGGGACTGACCTAAGCAGGTCTCTCCAAAAGTCCCCAAAGAGGTGGGAATAAGCACAAGCTGCTTCTCCTCCCCACTGAGGGATGCACTGGTGCTTTGTGAGGGCCCATCTTTGGCAGCCTCTCACTGGCTCTGACCACCCACAAGTGTATCTACCCCATCTCTGGGCATATCTAACCCATCTTCCAGCAAACTCAACCCATTTTTCCTGGTCTTTGGAAGAAAATACCTCAGGACATCAGCAGGGAAGAGCTTCCCTTCTTGCCTGGACATAGGGAGCTCAGGGCTCCTTCCATGGGCCCTCTTCAATCCCTGTGAGGCTCCAGGGGAATGGAAACACAAAATACCCAAATTCATGTATCCTAAGAGGCCAACAGTCCCTCAGATGGCTGTTGGGGCCAGTTTTCCCCATAAAACAGACAGGATTCTTCAGTGCTAGATTAGAGGCAAGCACTGCCACATTCAGGCCCCAGCAGAAACCAGGCTCCTGCCAGGAGCATTCCAAGAATAATGTCCAAAATGAAACCCAAAGAGTTTTTCCTCCATCATAATAAAAATTGCAATTTCCTTACAATTATTTCCTTCTTTTAAGGAAAATTCAAGTTTTTTTATTGATATCCACGATGAGGCTCCTACTCACACTGTAAATTCCTCCTACTCACACTGCAAACTTTCCTATCCTCTGATGTGCAGCTATCTCAGAATTAAATGAGCACCTTATGAAAGATTTCATTATTCTACTATTTAATTTAGCTGGAAAACCACACAGGTAAGAAATCAAGCACCAGGATAGGTAGACACAGGTTGCACCAGAGCTGCAGACCCTGCAAAGTGAAGGAGTTCTGCTCTTCCCTCAGAGAGGAAGACACCCCACCGTGTCTCCTCCTGCTCTCAATTAAATAATCCTCACATTCTGACTCACTAATTAGTTCCTCCTCATTTCCATTCCACGGCAGTCCTTTCCGTGCTCTCTGCTCTATGAGAACTTACTTTGCTTGCACAGTTAAAATTGTTGATACACTCTCATCAAAGCCCTTGCACCCAAAATAGAATCACCTGCTCTGGAGAAAATCAACAACACAAACACCTCTGGAAAAATGATGCAGAAAAATGATGCAGATCTTCAGATATTTTTAGAATGTGCGCAGCAGAACACTACACAAGAAAGAAAACAAATTTATCAGCTACCCTGAAATCAAGCCTTTGAGCGTTTTTTGAAGAATCTGGATGTAAGTGTGCTGGGATGATCTTGTAGATTTTTGCAGCTTTAACTCCTTTCTCCCAGAATCTTCTTCTAATTATCCTGGATTAGGGAAGGCTGTGGTGCTTGGAAGGATGATGTCGAATAAAGGGTGTGAGCTGCAGAGGAGCAAAGTTGAGCAAAATTCCCAAGTGATCAGCAGAAATAAATGAGTGACGTTTCACTCAGAGCTCACATCTGTTGATTTCAGGGCTTCTGTGCTGTCTTTCTTTCTCTCCTGCTAGGACCAGACAGCTGCAGAAGGGAGGAGGCTTGCAGCCATGGGAAGGCTTCTTGGGATAAACCAACGAGAAAAAAGTGTTTCCAAGCACTTGGGAACAAATTTACCCTTTCTCTCCTTGATTTCAAGCCACCGAGACTGAGTTTTTAATATGAAGAGGGAGTGTGAAAGGTGTCACGAAATGAAGGGATTTGCTCTGAACTGTTTTCCTTCTGCTTCACTCCAAGAGCTCCAGGAGTGTTTGGACATCACTCTCAGGGATGCACAGGGTGGGACTGTTGGGGTGTCTGTGCAGGGACAGGAGTTGGATCAAGGATCCCTGTGGGTGCTTTCAACTCTGGATATGCTGTGATTCACTCTCTTGCCTGTCCTTCATCTTGCTCCTCGCTGAGGAGAACTCATGGCTGCCCAAGCTCCATGCTCTATCCTGAAGGCTAAACAGCTCTCCAGGGGCTTCTCCCCCTCAAAAAACTGCCCTGCACCCCCCTCCAGACCCATCTTTCATTTTCATCTACACAACATCCCCAAAGGGAGAAAGCTACACTTGGTTGCTTGCAGGAAAAGAACCTGGTTTCAAAGGTTTCAGCCCAAAATTGCACCCTCAGCTCCCGAATTCCACTCAGCAGCCATCATTCCACTTTATCCTGGCTCCAGTATAAATCCAAAGGAGGACCTGTCCCACATTATTCTACCGATTTTTAGATTTTTTTTTTTCCTTTCCTTTTGGTTTTATGACATCATTCTTGCCCTCTGAAACATATTTGGCAAACAATGGGGAATGGCTTCCCTCTAATAGAGGGCAGGATGAGGTGGGATATTGGAAGGAATTCTTCCCTGTGAGGGTGGGGAGACCCTGGCAGAGGTTTCGCTGGTAGGATTGTTAAAATACTGCACCAAAATCAGCAAATAATCAATATTAAGGGGCTGTGGAGACAACCAAGCAGCAAGCACCATCTTTATCAGGAGCATAGCAGGAATACCAGCACTGAGGCGTTTCCTGCCCTGATTTGGGATTTAATGCAAGACTTCTGGGCCCGTGCTGGGCTCAGACACTGTCTCTACTTGTTACCATTCAGTCTTCATTTGCAAATGATAATTTTTTTTTTGCTTTGAATGGCATGCCTGACTGCAGGGCAGAGTAAATCCAAGCCTTTTAAGCTCTGGCCAAAAATTTGCCATGAATTAGGCGACTGCAGCATATTTACAATACAAAATAAAATATCTCCACGAGTGGCAGTACGAATAAATGACGATTATTCTCTCTCTTTTTTTTTTTTTTTTCTGACGGGATAATTTTCAAAGCAGCGATTTTGCAAAGGCTCAGGAAGAAAACAATTTTGTTTCATTTCCATAACAGAATCCAGACCTTGAAAATTCAACCTCACGAGCTACAATTATGCAGCAGAACTACCACTGTGAATTTTCAAACACAATGCCTTTTATTGTCTCTTCTCATTCTTTTCCCCCTCCTGCTCTCCATGATTTTCTGTCCTGTCACCCTCCACAGAAACTCTGGAGCAGAAAGTCTAACTTGAAAGGGAAACTTTTAAGCTTTCAGGCTTCAAAGGAAAACAAGAAAACCTTCAAAACAAGGTATTTAGGGTTTAGGGTTTTCTCGGCTTTATGGGAAAAAACAACAGCAAAAAGCCTGATGATATGAAAATTTGACAGCTGAAAAGTAATGCTCAGCTTTCCCAGGAGGGGTGGAGGGGTATTTTAGCCACCTCCTGGAGAATCCACATGGATTAACCTGGAGGTGGAGAATAAAAAATGCCAAATACTGTCTCCTTCCAGGGCAGCGATGCAGCCAACCTGCTCTTCACAGGAATACACACATTCCCAAATATTGTCCTATTTCATGGCCACGTTTCCCACCTGCTGTGGGAGGAAGGCAGCTCTGGAGCCCCAAGACTGAGGATGGAACAGCTCCACAGCATGGGCACGTCCTGCTTTCCACGGAGAGAAAAAAAAAAAAAAAAAAGCACTTTGGGATGCAAGGGCTGCTTCCAAAAGCAGCAACCCCTTCACCATGAAACATCCCCGCCTGAGAAAGGAGGTTTTTCCTCCTGAACAGGCTCGGGCTCCCCGGAGCAGCTCTGCAATCCTTGCTCTGCTTTTGCAGAAAGGCACGTGAGGCTGAGGCAGCCCGTGCCCCAGGCAGCCCCTGGCTGCTCACGGGCAGCATCTGGCTGCAATTAACCCGCCCCATGGAATGCAAAGCAGCAATTTTTGGTACTGGGGGCACCAGGAGAGAACAAACAGGACATTATTTACACATTAAAGGGAGTTACTTACCCCGACACCACCGCAAGGCAGCCTGACAAACATCGACGTTAGAGAACCTGTGGGGGGGACAAGAAAGGCACTCCCTGAGTCAAAAAGTCAGAGGTCACCAGACTCTGGGGCCAATTTTGTGGCAATTCTGCAATCTTTCCGAGCACAGAAACACAGACTGGGGGTTTTCTTCCCATTTTCATCCAGCCCTGTTACAACACACACACACTCACACACACACACACAATGAGCACTCTTGGGCTCCTGCAAAAGCTGTTTATAAATCACTCATTTTTAGGCAAGATTTGAGTGCTGTCTGATGTTTCGAGATGATATATGAGGAAGATGCCACCAACAATCACTCAGCATGTCTTCTCAGATGAGCACTTTAACCCCTTCCCACTGAGAGAGAACAGGAAATGATAAAAACACCCCAATTATCATTCATCTGCAGCTACTAGATGACTTTGGAGAGCATGGGCTTCATAAAAGAGGAAGACTGAAAAATAAACCAGTGGCAAGCAAAGAAAAAACATGTGTTTTGACTGAAATAGCATAACCAGTAAGGAGAATTTGAGAAAAATTAAGAAAACCATCTGCAGGGCTAATTCTGGATCTGTAAGAAATGTAACATCACTTTTGGGGCTTGTCTGTGAGTAAATTATCCTCCATTCAAAATTCCGTGGGGCCTTGAGCAACCTGGTCTGGTGGAAGGTGTTCTTGCCCATGGCAGGGGGTGGAATGGGATGGGCTTCAAGGTCCATTCCCACTCAAACCATTTGGGATTCTGTTACTGAAAGAGGAGTTCATGCATCTGGACTCATCTGAGCTCAAAGTGAGATGCTCTCTTTGATTAAATGCACGTGGGAGTCCTTAGATCATCCTGCCTCGGACCTCCTGTCACATCTCACTGCTAATCCACCCATTATTTCCGTATTTGTCTTCTCGACAGCAATTTATGGTTGCTCCCTACAAATCAAAAGCAGCCTTATTTGCCTGAGTTTCAACTGGTCCAACAGGTTCCAAGTATTTCCACTGTCCAGGGAGAGATGGGTTTGTATTTTGGATCCGTGACAGGATTAAGGGGGAATGACTTTAAACTAAAAGAGGGCAGGGATGGATGGGATATTGGGAAGGAATTGTTCCCTGGGAGGGTGGGCAGGCCCTGGCACAGGGTGCCCAGAGCAGCTGTGGCTGTCCCTGGATCCCTGGAAGTGTCCCAGGCCAGGCTGGACACTGGGGCTTGGAGCACTTGGGACAGTGGAAGGTGTCCCTGCCCATGGCAGGGGTGGGATGAGATAAGCTTTAAGGTCCCTTCCCACCCAAATCGTTCTAGGATTCTGTGACTCCATGAAGGCACATCCCCCTTTTTCATTTGCAGAAGCTTAACAGGAAACATCTTGTGTCCTGAAAAGCCTTTTCCCTTTCAGGCTGAGGCTTTTTTCTTCCTCACAGAGGTATCAAAGGCAAAGAGTTTACACGGAGTCATCAGACACCTGCCAAGACACTCAGCCCTAACAAGCTCCCATTTGCATCCCCAAACCTCACATCAAGCTTTGCCCTCAGCCTTCAAACCTGCCCTGAACCCACCCTCTAACCTGTTTCAAAGAACCCCACAAAGCTGGTTTGTAAATTCAAAAGCTTTTCAAACCCCCAGTGGGAGAGGATGGCCAAAGGAGGGGTTTTTTACAGGTGTGCTTCCCTCTCCACATGGAGCTTTCCCCTGATATCCTCGCTCAGCTCCTGCCCTATGGAAGCCATCAGGAGAGAAGGGGGTCATGTGGGCTGGCAGCCAGTGCCACTGTCAGCATCTCCAGGCTAAAATGGTGCCAAGTGGGCTTAGGAAACCAGGTTTAAATCCAGTTAAGAGCTACTGGACATCCTTTTCTTCTGGAAACCTTGGGGACCTGACCTCCCACTGCTCCGGGGCTGTTCTGCAAGTTGTATCCAAACGGGGAACGTTCTGTACTGGAAAGCTTTCAGGTGTTAGAATTTCTCTTCTCTATAGGATTAAACTTGATCTCTGCAACCACTTTAAAAGGAGCAATTAAAGCCACGGGGGACACAGAGCTACAGGAGCAGAGGCAGAGCAAGGGTTGCTTCCCCCACAGGCTCTCTGCAGAAACCATCAGGAATGGTTCAGCAATTGGGGTGTCCCCCCAAAAATACTATCCAAATAAACTGTATCTCCAAAGGCATCTGTGGAACCGGTGAGACAGATTGTGCCCAGAGGAGGCAGTGGAAAAGCATCCCAAGAGAATATTCTCAGGTCTCCCAGGGAGGATTTACAGAGTTTTCCACTCCTGAGTATATGACATCATAAATTCCTGAAAGTTTACATCCTAATGGAGCTATCATTCAGCTGGAGCTGTCTGCTTTGGGTTCTCTGGCTTTAAGGAGGTGGGAAGTGAGCTATAAATACCGTGCTAATTGCGTGTTTAACTCCTGCCTAATGGCTTCCCTCTCTGGAAGCTCATGGACACACTGAGCAAAATCTTTCCAGCTCCTTTGCTGTGACCACTACATCATGAAGGCCACGGAGTTAAACCTCTTTTTACATCATCCAAAGTCAAGCTAATCCCAAAATAAACTTTCTCAACGTCTAGGTTCCAGAACTGTCTTCTATTTTTTTTTTTTTTCTTATCCCCACATGAGAACTTCCCAAATTGCCCCTCCAGCCTGCTGCTCCTGCAAAAAGGCAGGAAGTAAAGGAAGGTGATGATGACTCCACGGAGGTGCTAAAATCCATGTTGTTTGGTTGCTTTGGAGGGCCGGTTATCTGAACATCCATCCCTTTTAATTTCTTCTGAGCAAATACCATTTTTTGAAATATTTTTGTCTGTATTTTACAACAGAGACGTCCCTGTTTTAGGGAGATTTGGTCTCCAGTGAAAGGGATAAACAATCCCACTCCAGATTAAACAAAAGTGGAGGCCCCTGCATCTCTCTTGCTGACTATCCATATAAACCTGACAGGGGTTTGTTGATGCCTGTGCAGCTGGCTGGGGGCTGCAGATGCAAATCCTTGGGAGGGTATTCCAGTTCCTTTCCTAGCCATAACTGTCTAATACACAGAGTGCCCAAGGATGAAACAAGCTGCCTGAACTATCTTTCCTCCTCAGGAAAACATCCTTTTAGGTTCTGAAGACATCAAAGAAAGCAGGTTTAAGCTGTCTAGGGTTTAGGGATCTGCCTGAAGAGAGGGAGATGGATCTTGTGCATGGAGCTGGAAACAATCCTCTTGGAGCTGCACAGGTTTAAGGATGAAGGGAGCCCCAGCATCTCACCCAGGGCTCAGAAAGGGGGATTTCCCCCCAGGGAACGATACCTAGAAGCTTTTTGCTGTCCAGTTTCTGCCTGTTCAGAGGGTTTGTGCCGTAGAGCAGCGTGTGGGCTTCCGAGTGAACCGTCTGCAGCTCCTCCAGCGTCGCCTTCCTGCCACGGATGCACTGAGAGGGGAAGGAAAAGAGTGGTGAAATCACTGGTGAACTGCTTGCCTCTCTTTTCTGTTTCCTTAGCAAGACATCAAGACAGACAGAAAAAAACTAAAATGGGTCCTGAGGTGGTTTTGGGTTAATCCCTTACTCGCAACATTTATTTGCTCAGCACAGAAAGTCATTTTCAGATCCGTTCAAGATAAAGGAGGAAACTTTTAAGACAGGTGCTGGCAGGAGGTGGTGGGGATGAAGGAAAGGTGACCAGAAAGATAAGGGAGTGCATCCTGAAATGGCAGGGCAGAGCTTGAAGAAAGCCAGCAGGAAATTAAGGCAGAAATTTAGCATTTTTGGGAAAAAAGAAGAGTCTGGTAAGGCTGAAAGCTGCTGGTGGGCAGGAGGGAAACACAGCTGGAAAGCAGCTGAAGATCAACAACAACTCTCAAACAACAACAGCAACCAAAAGTACCAAGGTAAGCACGGAAATTAATGAAAATAAATATTCCTTAAGGAAATCAACAGGAAGTTAAGGCCAATAATATTGACTGGGATGTCACAGTGATGAACTTGTACATTAGAGAACATCGGTAACACTCATTGAGGAGACCAGGCAACTAGCAATGAGGTTTACTTGGTCCCAAATAATCCCAAAATTCCATTAAATGGGTATCCACAGACAGAGACAGGTTTCAAAGGGCTAAACGGGGGCAGGACAGGGAAATTTAGGCAATGGCAATGCTGCCACCACGTGGATGTCTTATCTGATGGCTCGGGAACATTCCTAGCCAGATCCTGACATTGCAGAAATATTTATGCTCTGGGATTCAGTCCCCTCAGGTGCTCAAAGAATTGATGAACACACACTAATACCCCCATTCATCACCACTGCTGTTAGTTGTAACTAATAACCACTCGTTAATTTTTATTATTAACCTTCACTCTTTCTACTTAATAGCTAAGCTTTTCTCTCCCTTTGCTTGCTCTTAAAATTTATCCAATAAATCTAATTTAACCTCCTGTGATGGAATGGTGCTCAGTGCCTTCATCCTACCCCCACTCCTTTTACAGCATAGCTTGCCCATTACTTATTAAAGAGCATTAAAAAAAGTTATTAAACCACAGAAAAGCTGTCACTCCACAGTTTTTGCTGGGATAATTGCAAGGATAACAAACGAGAGTGTGACATCATATCTTGATCTTTTCTTTGGCATAACAACAACAACAATAGTAATAAAATTAATAACAATAACAATAACAAATAACAATACAATAATAAAGCAATAATAAAGCAATAATATTAATAATACTAATAAAAACAGTAATGTGGCCTTTTCAAGTGTTTCCCTCACCTCACACTTGCCCCGTAGCCCTGTCTCCTGGAGCCTGGACCAGATGCTCTGGATCCTGCCTGCATGCTCGGGGTGGCTGTTGGTGTTTCCACAGGTGCACTGGTGCTTCAGCATCAATGTGTCGTACACAAGGCCTGCAGGGGACACAAGGGACAGAATTGCCCTCGGGTTAAAAAAACACACGAAAGATTTGCCAGTTATAGAAGAAAAAAAAAACGCATTTTGCACTTTGGAGTCAATGGTTCCAGGCCAAAATTTTGTGTTTGACCAGGAGCCACAGAGAACTGAAAACCCAAACCTGCATCCACCCTTTTCCATGGCAATCCCCAAGGGATATGAGAAGGAAATCAGTACAAAGATGCGAAATTAAATGCCAGGGAGAGGTGACACCTGTGTGAGAGCAGAGGTGCTGGCACAGGAATGGGATCTGGGATCTGAAGCTTTTTCCCTGGCTACCAAAATGCCTCCAGGGCTTGGCAACTAAACCCAGAAGTCATTGCTGGATGAGGGGCTAGGGCAGCTAAATTCCTCTGCATTCCCAGGGATTAATGGCATGAGACCAGCACAGGAGGATTTGATTCGTGCTCCAGAGTTGCCTGGGTACAATTTTAGAAGATGCGTTGGGATTCCATAGCCAACATTCCAACTGAAGGAAAGCAGCAGGTCCTACCCAGTGACAGAAGACCTTTAATTGTTTCTCTCTAGCAAAATACATGAAGTCAAATGTTTAAACCCATCTGTCCTTCAGCCAGAAGTTCCAGAATACATAATAAAAGCCATTGGTTTGGGGCTTTCTTCCCCAAGAAAAAGGTTTCTTGCAGGAAATATCTGTATGAAAGTCGGTCCAATGGCTGCAGCCAGGCTGGGAGGGCTGGGGGTGCTCACCTGGAGAAGGGAAGGCTCCAGGGAGAGCTCAGAGCCCCTTCCAGAGCCTAGAGGGGCTCCAGGAGAGCTGGAGAGGGACTTGGGACAAGGGATGGAGGGACAGGACACAGGGAATGGCTTCCCACTGCCAGAGAGCAGGGATGGATGGGATATTGGGAAGGAATTGTTCCCTGGGAGGGTGGGCAGGCCCTGGCACAGGGTGCCCAGAGAAGCTGTGGCTGCCCCTGGATCCCTGGAAGTGCCCAAGGCCAGGTTGGTGCACCCTGGGCTAGTGGAAGGTGTCGCTGCCCACAGCAGAGATTTAAAACTGGATAACCTTTCAGGTCCTTTCCACCCCAAGGTTTTCTATTATTTCTATGGAATTCCAAGGTTCTGATGAGAATCCAAAGCCTCTGAAGGCAGCAGTGTCAGGAGCCAGTCCCAGCTCCCATGTCCAAGGCTGTGCAGCCCAGCTGCCAGCACTCCAGGGAAATCCAGGGTGAGCACACCCGCATCGTGCCAGGCACAGCTGGATCCATGCTCCCAGCTCAGGCATGGACTCACAGCATAGTCTGGGAACTCCAAGGAGCTTGCAGGGAAGCCTGAGAGCAGCTGGAACTGAATCTGTGCCTCTGCATGTTCCCAGGCCCGGCTGCAGCTGCAGTCCCACCTCCTTGCTGGGTGTGGGCACACTGTGCCACTGGGAATCTTGGCTCCCCGCTCTGGCCTCGGCATTCTGCAGCCTCAGGGGAGGTGTCTGGCAGCTCCTCGCTCTGCTGTAGGTGAGTGCAGAGGAGAAAAACACCCCTTGAAATCCAAACCATGCTGGGTTCCAGGGAGAGAACAGAGCCCTGGTAATTGGCTGCCCTCGGGTCAGCCGAAGTTCACCTGGAGGAGGTTGTGCTGCAAAGCTCTCTCAAGGTCTCCCGTGTTTGGTTCATAGCATCAAACATCATGAGCAGCTGCTGGGCCAAGGCAAGCTCAGAATGCACCTGAGGAGAAGCTTTCACCCTAGTCTGAGTTTAACTGAACCAGTGCAAGGTCTCAAACTAAAAGAAATTTAGATTGAACTTATGGAAGAAACTCTTCCCTGTGAGGGTGGTGAGGCCCTGGCTGTCCCATCCCTGAAAGTGTCCAAGATCAGGCTTGACAGGGCTTGGAGCAGCCTGGGATACTGTGAGGTGTCCCTGGCCATGGAACTGGATCATCTTTAAGGTCCTTTCCAACCCAAACCACACAAGGAATCTACCCCACCCCAAAGCTGCTGTTCAGAGAACTTGGTGCATCCATGGTTTCCCTCTTCCCAAGGGTTCACTGATAACAGCAGTGTCCCAGTGAAGTTCTGTGCTGCAATCATGCATCATTTCTCTTTCCTAGAAACCAGCCCAGTGGAAAAGGGAGCTGTTCCCGTTCCTTCCTGTGGCTGGGGACACTCAGCTGCACACACTCACATACACACACAAAGGGAAGCTCGGCAATTTAAGCTCAAAATACAAAACTACACTGGCTGTTACAAGTTAATTGAAGTGGTGCTGGAAGCAAGACTCTTTTCAGACATAAGAACAATCACTTTTAAAGGTCAGCACTAAAGCAAAACCAACTGGCTTTTCTTGGCAGAACAAACATATGATCTGAGGTTCAGATAATTATATTGCTCTGCACAGGAGAGAATAAACGCCTTCATCGGAAAGGAAAAACCCTTTAATGCAGAACATCAGAATAATTTGTCGACCCATTTTTGCAGGAGATCAGAGACTGGATAATTGGAGCTACGCAAATTAATGGCCTAACCTGAGGATCCTTATTCAAGTGTGCAGAACAGGGCAGGCAGGACTGTTCATTAAAGTCACGGGGGCTGCTCGAGCTAGAGAGGGCAAGTTCAAGGACCGGTTTTCTGGGAGGAAGGAAAATTAAATGTCATGCTTCGGGACATCAAACTGATTGCTGGAAGGATCCAGGAAGGGCACGGCTTTCACTTTGATGTGGAGTAATGGACATCATGTTTGAGAGCTGCAGTATGTGGCTCTTTCCCCAGGACCTTTGAAGTCTCAGGTGTTGGTCACTGAGAGAGACAGGAAAATAAAATATACATCAACCCCAGACCTTCCAGTTGTCTGGAGCTAACTCAGTCCAGGGAGAGCATCAGCTTTCTGTATTATTTCTATATAATTTCCCAAACATGAAAGAGAGGAACAATTCCTTCGTCTGTTGGAAAAGGACTGATCTGTTAAGGGCCACGTTCACATCCAGAGTGATCACGGCTGGCTTAATTAGGGCCATTCAGTGAAGTCTGCTTCTTGCAGCCCTCTCACCAAACCATTACACCAATTCCAATCCTCATTCCTCTGCCCTAGGATCAGTCTGCAAAGCAGCCACTTACCAGCCAGATGGATTTTCCTAGGGAAAAGGAAGCCTGATGCACTTTAGCACTGCTTACTTTTGAAAAACACCTAAGACTTTAATTTCCTGCCTTACAAAGAATAGCTCGATCCTGGTGATTAAGCTTTAGTACCCACCTCCAGAAACACAATCTCCGACGCGCCACTGTGGACAACTCCAACAAAACATGAGGCAATTTAACTCACACACATGCTCAGCAGCTGAAATGCCTTTCCTCCCCTTTTTCCTGCTTCCAAGCCCATGGCAGTAGGCTTTTTTTCCCTGCTTCTCCTATGCAGATAGTGCAGGTTAATTAAACCAGACCTAGGACTAGTTTTAGGACTTGTACAGAGGTCTTACCTCTATGCTTTGCACCTTAATTAGTGCCAGTGAATGCCTGATTATATTGTGTTCTTCTTTCTCCATTCACACAGCATAAATGCAGAGATGGAAGAGAAAAGTCAAGCCCTTGAAATCTTAACCTGGATAAATGCTGTGAAAATGGTATTTTAGGGAGGTGAACCACCTGAAGCATTCTGCACCTCATCACTCTGTGCAGCGCTAGATAAAAGCAGTGTGATATTCCACCTCTCATTTTAAGCCACTTTTTGAGTTTTTCAAACCCTGCCTCCGAGGAAAATAAATCCTGATACTGGAACAGCATCTTTTCCAAGGAGCACAGCTCTCAAATCTTACCTGCTGCCTGCAATTTTGAATGAAATTCAAATGCACAGATCTGAGTCAAACATAGATCGTCTGGTAGAAAATGTTATTTATTGTATTTTCAGGGTCTTGCATGTGATTGATTGGGCAGCTTCAATACTGGAGGAGGAGGACGAGGAGAAGGGAAGAAAGAGAAGGATTGAATAATCCCTTCAAGGAGGGCCGGGCTTCCTTGTTTTTAAAGCCCCAGGGCTTGGGGTTAAGTGTATTAGAAGCTCAAGTTTCATCTGCTCTGACCCTGAGCCAGGGGACTTTTCCTTGCCCTCTTGGCAAAAGCCAAAATCTTTTAATCTGGCCAGAACTGACTGCGTTAGAAATGCAGTTCTGCCGAAATTCCAGGGTTCAATGTTTACAACAAATAGGGACTTTAAAGGGCTGACTTGCAAAACTTGAACCATTTTCTGGGTTTTTCCAGAGCTGACAGCACACGCTTCCCACCCTGCCTGCAGCCAGCAGCTGAGGAACACTGCACATTCTACTATTACTACACCACCAGGGCCTGAAAATAAACCCGATTCACAGCACTGAGCTGAGTGATGTGAGAAGTGTAGGTTAAAAATGGAATAAAAGCAGGAGTGAAAGGGAAATAACATCATGAGCTGCTCTTATTTGGGCGTTGTGGATTCCCCCCCCCCCATTCCTTTTCCCTGGGAACACATCACATTGCAAACTGTTCATTCACATAGTAAGAGCTTGACATTTGGGGAAGAAGGCGGACTTTGAAATCAGTCCTCATCACCTAGCACAGGGCTTGAGGAGTTGCAAGGAAAATCAACTTTCAGCTGTTGCTGAGGGCACTGAAGAGGCAGAAAGGATTTTGGAGGAGAAAAGTTGGCTGTCGGGATACAGGAAGAACAATTAAGTTTTTTGCTTTTAATCTTGGTGGGGAGATCACAGAATCCTAGGATGGTTTGGGTTGGGAGGGACCTTAAAACCCTTCTTGTTCCACCCCTGCCATGGGCATGGACACCTTCCACTATCCCAGGCTGTTCCATCCTGGCTGCTAACACTTGGGGATCAACACCTGTTTTGCACTTGTGCTTTCCACCACACAAATGCAGGATTGCACTCATCATTTTCCTTCACAGGTAAGCAAACACCCTTTGGTCTCCTCAAGACAAGTTGAAATCACCAGCTCCCCTCATTTTTCCTAACCTGCAGGCACGGACTCCTGTGTGACAGGAGGAGGGGAGGCTGGCAGGGAGCCCGGAGTGGATAACTGATGGCATGAGATTGTGGAGGGACTGGAGAAGGTGGAGGAAACAGAGCCAGCATTGCATTTGGCACTCTGTCCTTCAGGAGCACTGGCTCTCCCTGCCTCACCTCTCAATCAGTTCTGTCATAGCCTGGGACTTGCTCTGTGTGCCTGGAGACACACAGCTCCAGTGCTGTGCTGCTGCCGGTGTGTGCAGGGTATTTTTGCCCTGGGGAAGGGACAGGCAGGAAAACAGGGATGACTCAGTCTGCTCCTTGAGGAAGGCAGGATGTTCTGGAGTACTTAAATGAGGATGAGATGTAGAGCCCACGCTTACGGATTAGCAGGGATGGGAAAGAAAATCATAAAATCATCATCATCATGGAATGGTTTGGGTTGGAAAAGACCTTAAAGCTCATCTCGTGGGCAGGGCAGGGACACCTTTCACTGTCCCACGGTGCTCCAAGACCTGTTCAACCTGGCCTTGGACACTTCGAGGGATAGGGCTGCCAAAGCTTCTCTGGGCAGCCTTATCGCCCTCACAGGGAAGGATTTCCTTCCGATATCCCATCTAACCCTAGTGCCAGCCTAAAGCCATTTAGCCACTTTTCCATGCCCTTGCAGAACAGCCCAACATAAAACAAACCCATCACCACAGCACCCACCCCCCAAAAGCCCCCAGCCCCCAAAAAGCTCACCTGTTGTGAACCTTGGCTTAGTGGGTGGCTCCTGCACAGACATGGGGAAGGTGGCCGAGGCAGGGGAGGACTGTGCCCGGGACAGGGGCCGGTGTCCCCCGAAGGACACGGGCATGCCAGCCGCCTCCAGCGACGCCTGGTAGTTCCTCAGCTGGTGAATCCTCTGCTGCTCCAGGAGCAGGGCTTGCTGTGGGCAACAGAAGCAGGCAGTTGCTGAAAGGGCCTTCCCCAAAGGGTTTTTGAAGGCTCTCAGGCTTGGACTCCTTTCCCCCACGTGCAGCAAAGGAAGGTGTGATGTTTCTAGAGCCAAGTCACAGCACGTGGAGCCCCAGCCCTGAGCCTGGTGCAGGGTGACAGGGTCACTGGAAGGGGCAACTCCGTCCTGCCCCACAACTCCCTCATCTTCCTCCCCCCGTGCTCCCACCCCGCTGCACTGGGGCATTTAGCAGTGAAACACTCCAGGCCATGGAATGAGCCCTGCTCAACTGGATGCCAGGCTGGAGAGGGAGCTCCTAACTGAGCTGGCCCTCTGTGCAGCCACGCCATCAGCTGGACAGGCTCCTGGTCAGAAGGGATGGCTGTTTCATCCCATTCCCTCCATTTATTCCCTCCTGTTTTGAGGCAAAACAGTTGCAAAGGAGATACTATTTTAAAGTTTCCTGAGGTGTGACCATGGATTCAGGATTAAGGTCGAGAGGCTGCACTTTCAGAGGACTGGTACCACTGATAATGGTCCACCATCAGCAACACACAGAGAATCCCAGGATGGGCCTTAAAGCTCATCCCTGCCATGGGCAGGGGCACCTTCCCCTATCTGAGGTTGCTCCAAGCCCCGTTCAACCTGGCCTTGGACACTTCCAGGGATGAAGTGGCCACAGCTTTCCTGGGCAAATGTAGCTCCTGACCAACATCCCAATGACATTCCTGGAGGACGTGGATCAGCTCCATTACACTGTGCTCCCTTGTTATTGGATTTATCACCTGCAATCCACAAGCCTCAGGTGCTTTCCCTCAAAAGTGAGCCTGGCTGGAGGCTCCAGGATCTCTAATTCCGAAGCAGGAACACCCTCCACTTGTCCCTTGTTCCTTTACATGCAGCCTTTCTCTGGAGAAATTAAATCACTAAACCAAAATACAATCTCCTGCTGGTGGCCAGGGCTCAGAAATGTAAGGATATACTTTATCTTTCCAAAGAAACAGCCACAGAAGTGTCTCAGTGGTTCAGTAAACACAGTGACTGTGTTTTGTGCAGGTTACCCAGACTCCCCTCTCTGGCGTTTTGTCAGCTGGCAGGTGACTCCAGGGAAGGAATTTTACATCGGATTCCTGCGCCCAGCCAGCTCTGAGGAGCTGGTTCCCCTCAGAGTCTCCTCCTCGGAGCGACACAAGGTGACTTCCAAGCCCAGATCCGACTGCCACACCTGGCAGCTCACCTGGCGGAAGAGCAGCTCCTGCTCCGCCTGCCTCTGCCCGGACTCCAGCTCCTGCTGCGGCTCTGCCTCCTCCTCGTCGCTCTCAATGGGCTCCTGCTTGACCTGCACCACGCTGGCCAGTGCCGGGGGCTCCTTCTGGCCCCGCTCGCCGTAGGGCTCCTCCAGCAGCGCCTGGTGCTCCCGCAGCTCCTCCTCCGTCTCCTCGGGGTGGCTCTCGTGCTGCCGCGCCGGCTCCGTGGGCTTGGAGATGATCTGAAAGAAGCCCAGACTCATCAGTGAGCTGCATCCCGCCCGGGGAAAGCTGCTTCTGCTCTGCAGGCCCGCGGGAAAGAGCAGCTCTGCGTTGTTCTGTCTCACAATCCAGGCCCGAAACAATCCCAAGGAAAGGTCAGGGCAACCTTGGCGTTAAGGGCTCCGAGATCCCGTGTCCCAAGTAATGACAGCCCCTTATTTTCCACTTCATGTTCCCTCCGAAGGAATAAGAGCCTCTTGTTCCTGCACGCCTCCAGATGCTACTCCATTCACAAACCCACAGAGCAACCATCGAGATGTTTGGCAATTAAATTCTGAAAGAATACAGGGGACACAAACCCTCCAAGAGGGTTCTTGCTGCCTGTTTGCTCAACATCACCTCGAATCACTCCCTGAATTTCATCTGGAAGGCTGAAATAATGATTACTTGAAAAATCTGCATTCTTATGGAGCTGGTTAAGAGGAACTCAGGACATGCAGCTGAAGCAAACCTCAAGAGCAGCATTGTTCTAACCCGACCTTCCTAACCAGACACAGTAAACATCTCAGAGAGCAGCTCCTAAACTAAAACGAACAATTTCATTTTCTCTGTAATTCACTCAGACTTCTTGTAAGTTCTTTGGCAAGATAAAATTCACAGTTCTCTGTCTCAGACTGCTTATGATTTTTATTTGGGATACTAAATAAAAAAAACCAAATGTGACCTGTTTTTAACTCCAACATAGGAAAACCAATCCATTTCCTCCCTTTCAAAGAGCTCAGGCTGTCCCTGCTTCACAGGCTTATAAAGAAACTGCTGCACTTTGAAAGTTGTCAGGGCAAGGTTTAATGAGGATTAGGTCATCAGTATGGAAAGCAATATTGATTTTAAATCTAATAAAGCTAAATCAAAACATGGTTATTGAACACATGCAGGAAGTGGGATTATTTGTCAGTAACTTGCTCTTTGAAGAACAGTGGCTCCAACCTGGAATTAAGCCTTTTTTCCCCCCAAAAGCAGGAAGGAAGGTCTGCCATACAACCTAAGCAAGGCAAAGGGGCAGGAATGGAGCTGAATCTGGCAAAGGACAAGAAGAAAGAGGAAAGGTAAGGAGATGCTGGTGCCACTGCTGAATGAGGGAAGGCACCTGGTGGCACATGAGATAGAATTAATGCCTTATCTAAGACCATCCTTCAGGAATCTTGGGACTCTGAAACCCAAGGAAAAGTCTGGAACAAGGAAAAAGTCCCTTGGAGAAGGAATTACCAGGTTTAGCAAACGCTTAAAAGACCTGGATATCCTTAAGTCCATGGGACTCTCATGGGTTGCACTCACAGGTGATGGGACAGGAGGCCATAGGTACAAATTAAAACCCATAAAATTCCTCCTGAACACAGTAAAACTTTGGTTTGTTTTTTTTTTTTTTTCCTGTGAGGGTGGTCAAACACTTGAACAGGTTGTTCAGAGAGGTTCTGGAGTCTCCATCCTTGGATATCCTTGGGCAACCTGCTAGAGGAGGGACATTGTCCTCAGTGACCTCAGGAGGTCCCTGCAAAGGTTCAGGGATCAAAACCCCTCAAGGATTTTTGTGAGGCTCCCCCTGCCTCCCCCCAGTTTCATTCCTTGTAACACACACTGAATAACCAAACCACATTAAGGTAAAAGTTTTTCCACCGATTTTCTTTAAGCCCTCTTAGGCTTGATGAATATTATCTGTTTTAAAGATAATTAAATTATCATAAACCATCTGCTGCATGTTTTGGTTTTTTTTCCCTGCTTGGATTGAAGGTCTCAAGCTTTTGAACTTAATGCCTTTTGAACTTCTGAACTGCAGGAGGTAATTGCTGGGAAAAATAATTTACAGTGCCATTGTCATACCTAATGGGAATGAGAGGCAATGTAATTCCCTGGTAGTTTTAAATTTTTCCCACTCCTTAAAAATGTAAGAATTAAATGACAACCACAGTGAAGGCTGAGAATACCAAGTGGTCGATGACAAGGACATTTCAGACATTCTGTCTGTAAAGAGAATCTCCTGGTCTGTCACCAGCTCCAGACGCTGCAACCCCACTCTTAAAGGACAATTTTGCAGAGAAGACACTTTGTTATCACCACATTCCACATAATATATTGACTATCTGCATCCCAGGCCCATCCAAACTGCCTAAAAATCTTCCATTTGTGCAGTTTTATGAGCACGTGCTGGTGCAACTTAAAATCGGAGGGAATAAAAGTGTGAGGGGCTGGCTGTAAGGGCAGCACTGAGAATGACTGTAAATATATTTGAAACAGTATGCACAAAGCACCATAAATAAGCCCTCCATCCCTTAATTAGCTCTCTGGCTTCCTCTGCCAAGAGGTTACTCCTCTGTTTTCATACCCAGTGGCCTCTGGCTGTCACAAACTGCCACCATAAACCTCTGGTAAAGGCGCTGCCTCTCCAGCCTCAGGCAGATAACGACTTCACTCCAGAATAAATTACAGCTCTCTAGTCACAAGCATGTTTAAAAGGCTCCATTGCAGCTGGCAAGAGTTTTCCTCCACAGCCTTGAAATACAAATAACAGAAAAGAAAAAAAAAAAAAAAAAGGAAAAAACCCCCGCAAACCCATAGCAAAGTCAGGTCATAAATACAAGGAGAAACCAAAGAATTAATAATTTCTCTGTGGATCATTTGATGGGGGGGAGGGGGAAAGGCTGCATTTTTCACTAGTGACGTTCCAGCCGGTGTTGGGTTTGTCCAGTAGGTGTGATAAATAGAATCACAGAATCATTTCAGTTGGAAAAGACCTCCAAAGACCATCAAATCCAACCTCTAAGCACCACCATTACCATCACTCCATACCAACTTCTCCAGGATACCTTTCTCCACAGTGGCAAGTTCCTGGGACACTGAAGACCTTGAAGATCATACCAAGATGTTAGAGACATCTACTTACACATCAGAGATCAATGAGGAGTCCCCAGCAGAAAAACCAGGGAATCCCAGAATGGTTTGGGCTGGATGGGACCCCAATCCCCATCGGTGTGGGGGCACAGGAGGAAAACCAGAGGAAGAGAGGAGCCAGGAAGCAAAGGAGGATGTCAGCTCAGCCCTGACCATGCCATGATGTGCAGAAGCCAGCAGAACCCTCCCTTTCCTCCCTCTGGAGATGAAGGACGAACTCAAGGAAGAAACAAAACAACTCTGGAGAGCTGGAAACACAGCTTTGATGAAAATGAGGAAAAAACAGGAAGAAAAAAAAGGATGATAAAGGCTGAACTCATTTGACTCGACGTGGCTCTTCCCACGTTCCCTGTGAGTTCTGATTTTTAACTTTTATAGACTAAGGAGAAACAAGAGATGATAAGGGATGATGGGGAAAGGCCAACTTGGGTGCCAGCCATCTAGGGAGCTGGCAGAGCCTTTCAGAAGCAGCTAAAGCCTCTTGATCTGGCTTTTTTTTCCCCTGAAGTGATGGGACAGCAGGGACTGAGGCAGTCTGAGTCCTACAGCCGGAAGGACCAGGAGACTGTGGAGCTTCTGTGCCTGGAGGAGAGGGAACAACCCACGTGCAGGGCTGGATGGGCTTGGAGCAAAACTTATTCTGATATTAAAAATCACAGAATCCTTACGGTTGGAAAAGTCCTCTCAGACCATTTAGTCTAACTGTTCCCCCACCCCAAACCCTGTCCCCAAGTGCCACATCCACAGGTTGTCTGAACACTTCCAGGGATGGGGACTTCCCCACTGCCCAGGCAGCCTGTGCCAGTGCTTGACTACCCTTTCAGTGCAGAAATTATTTCTGATCTTTTCCAACCTAAACCTCCCCTGGCACTTCCCTTTTGAACATTAAACATGCAAAAAACGGTGGGAAATAGAAGCACAGGCAGATGGTGGAATATCAGCTCAATGCAAATCACAGAATAATTTGCGTTGGAAGGGATCTTAAAGCTCATCTCATTCCACCCCTGCCATGGGCAGGGACACTTTCCACTATTCCAGGCTGCTCCAAGCCCTCTCCAAACTGGCCTTGGACACTGCCAGGGATCCAAGGGTCCCAATGATTATTCTTATTATTTTTACGTAAAACTACACATTCTTCCTTAGTTGCTTTCCTGGAAACAGCAAGACTTGTTTTGACTGCAGTCCCCTCAAAAATTTCATCTGCTGCAGACACCTAACAGGAAACATTTAGGGCCAAAATCTCAAAGTCTGGAAAAATCACAAGGAATTAAGAAAAGCCTGATTTAGTAGTATATAAATATATAAAATACTTCAGGAGTATTATTTACGGGAAACCCGCAAATAAAAAAAATTAACTGGCAGCGCTATCGGTCCTGTTAATAATTAAATAATCTTTTATTTTATTTTTAGTCCTGCCCTTAACTCTCCTACACACACCAGGGTCCTAAAATATCCCCACATCTGGGAAGTCTTTTCCCATGTCAGCACTTGGATGCTATCCCACGGGATAAATCCACCACACGCACACAGTGCGAGCATCAAAGTGATTTTACTCGTGACTCCTATAAATCAAACGCAGGGAATCAGTTCAATTAAACCCCCTCTGACTGATTTTGCTGTGGAGAGCGATGGACAAAGCTGGAATTCAGAGCGCTCCAGCGGCTCTCCAGCTCCTGGGAGGTCCAGGAGAAAGTCTGAATGAGCTCAGCGGATACGTCACGGCCAAGGCTTTGGAAAAGCTTTAAAAACCTTCCCGCAAAAAATCTCTCCAGCTGACACTTCCTCAAACAAAGAACCCAAACTCTCTGCCCCGCACCCTGCTGCCCTGGCCCCGAGGAGCGTTTGGAGGGGGCAGGAAATGGGATCCCTGTGGAGCAGCAGCTCCCCAGGGCCCCCGTGTGCGGGACGGAGCCAGGGCCAGGGCTGGCACCCGCGGTGGCAGCGCTCCAGGAGGACAGCATTGACGACAGCAGCTTGTGTAATCATCCTGCCTCGGCCCCAGCCCATAAACAAGGGTTTGGGGTGGTGTGGGGGGAGAGGGCTGGGCCTTCTTTCACTCTTTGATGCAGCCCTCGGTAGCTGTGTTTCCTTGCGGGACTGGAATGGTGGAAATATCTGGAGGAACCTCCGCCTGTGTAAATGAAACAGCAGAGATCTGAACCCCCCGCCTGCCACGGGCTTGTCCTGAGCCCCAGAGCTGCTGCTGGAATCACTGCTGTCCTAAGGAAAGCCTCCCCTGGAACTCCTTGGAAGGAGTGTTTAGAAAGCCTCAAAACAGTACAAAATCCAGAGGGATTTGGGTGGGAAGGGATTTTAGAGATGCTGCAGTTCTATTCCCTGCCATGGGCAGGGACACCTTCCACTGTCCCAGGCTGCTCCAAGCCCCAGTGTCCAGCCTGGCCTTGGATACTTCCAGGGATCCAGGGGCAGCCACAGCTTCTCTGGGCACCCTGTGCCAGGGCCTGCCCACCCTGCCAGTGAACAATTCCTTCCCAATATCCCATCCATCCCTGCCCTCTGGCAGTGGGAGGCCATTCCCTGTGTGCTGTCCCTCCTTGAACCCAATCCCTCTCCAGCTCTCCTGGAGCCCTTTTAGGCACTGGAAGGAGCTCTGAGGTCTCCCTGGAGCTTTCTCTTCTCCAGATGAACACCCCTAAGTCTCTCAGCCTTTCAGCAAATGTTTCAGAAAATCTGAATAATTTTCCTCACAAATACATCCTGGTGTTGTCATGCTTGAGAGAGGTCCAAGGACGAGAGGCCCAGGGATGTTGGAGGTAGAGTCCACAAACACACCTGCATTAGAGACCCCGAAATCGTGCACTTGAAGCTGCTGTGGAGGAAAAAAAGGCATTGAAAGTTTCATGCCTACCTTGTTAATGTGCAGCTGCTGCTGCTGGAATTGCTGTTTGTGTTTCTCCAGGAACTGCTGGTGCTGCTGCTGGATCACCAGCTGCTGGAGGGCCTGGGCGTTCTGGGGCAGGGGAGCAGACTGGGTGCGCCCGAGCGGGCGGTGCTGCCGCAGCTTGTGGATCGAAGGGGAGACCCTCTCTCCACCCACCAGGGGCTGTGCGTGCAGGGGCAGTCCTGAAAGATACCAGTCTGAAGATAATATGGAGGAAAAAACAGCAGAGGAGAAACAAAAGGAAGAAGAAAGGAAGGGAGAAAACGGCTGTTGAGTAACGCTGATGGTGACAGTGATACCATGTCAAACCCAGCCACCTGGCCACCTACAGCTGGAGCTGCCTTGAGAGAGAGCAGATAAATTAATCACTGCACAGAGCAGTACTCTGCTTGCTTTGAGTTCTATGTCTGCTTGGTGACTCAGACACCCTCTAGAAACATCTCATTTCTTGAAACCAGCAACACATCACTGACCCTTCTGTCACTACATGAGACCACTGTGGTCTGGAGAAGTTTAAACCTCACAGCTCACCTTGATTTAGGGACTGATCCCAGGTTCAATTCAAGCTGCAGGAACCAGCTGCCTCCCTAGCAGGGCTCGAGCTGCAGTCACTTTGGGGCAAGAAGCCCTCTGCTCCCTTCAGGATTTGGTTTAGGAGAGGGAGAAGCTGCTCAGAAGTCTGCAGCCGCCAGCTGGATGCCGAGGATTAGAAACACCTTGGCATTTGTGCCCCAGAATGTGACCTCCTTTCCCACTGATTCACAGAACTGCCCTACAAAGAGGGAGCTGGCTCATGTGAAAGCCTCTTTTCTCAGAAGGCTTACAGTTTCTCTCACTCTCTGCTTTTTCTGAAAGGGATCATCACGTGAAAGGGCATTTGATTTTATAAGTGCATGTCTCTGCAGATGTCGGTGTGTACACACACAGGTCTGTGTAGGAATGCACGGATAATTGGGAAAGATGTGCTCCTTTTCCCTGAGAGCACAGCTCCTCCTCCCAAAAGTTCAAATCAGACAGCAGAGCTTGCACAGGATGTTTTGGGAGACTACCTTCCTCTAAGGCAATGGCCAAGGTCTGTGCTCCTGGAAAGCTTTCCAGGAGACACCATGTTCACAGAATCCTGGAACAGCTGGGCTTGGGAGGGACCTTAAAACTCATCTCATTCCACTCCCTGCCATGGGCAGGGACACTTTCCACTATCCCAGGCTGCTCCAAGCCCTGAGTATGTTCCATCAGAAATATGGAACATCAGGACATGTATCACAACATGAAGGATACTACCTGGAGTAACCATTCCCGAGAGGAATGGCACAGCTAGGGAATTCTAGTCTAGCTTCCCAAACTGGCCATATCTACCTTCCAGCCCAGAGAGCCATCACAGCTGGGTAATCCTGCAGCTGTCAGGGGACTATCTCCAGAGCTCAAGGCTCTCCAGCAGAATCCTAATAAACTCCATTTCTTTCCAAGCAGTTTCCAAATATTAGCTGCAGCTTGGCAGCTGGTGCACTCAAGGCTTTGGGGACCACGTGTGAGCTCGCTGTCGCTCAGCTGCTGCCTCTGGAACGTGTGTTTCTCCTTGTTTCTCTGTCCTGACTTCTCCTGAGTGTTGGGTTGTAACGTGCTGTACTCTCTCGGAAAGCACCGCACGGAGCAGGTGGAGTAGAAGGAATTCACTTGGAAGCAAACACCATGTGCTGGAAACTGAGAGAAGCAAACACCACACTTCTCTGCATCAGCCTCCCCATATCTACGTGCTCCCAAGCTTATCCCAACCCTGTGGATATTCCTGGGGTTTGGATGTATAACCAGCCGAGCTGCAACGCTGCAGGGGCTGACACCTCCCAAGAACTTCCATTAGAAATGGAAGGAAGGGAAGGAAAAGTAACACGTCAGTAACTGAGGCAGAACATCCTTTGTCCCAGCATCACACACAGGAAACCAGGAACGCATCCCAGTGGGAATTATTGCTTTGAATCCAGCCTATTTATAGCCACAGGCCTTCCCACAGGTAGTTCATTCTGAAAACCCAGCACCGGGAGTGACTCACGGCAATTAACGTCCTGGAAGGGGAACGCACACAAACAAATACAATCTGCTGGGAGGCAGCTGATTTTGCCATGGTTTTGCTATTTATATTAATGAAGGAAAGGAAGTGTTTTAACCTGTGATTTTCTAAGTGCGTGCCTTTCATACTTTCATGGAATAGAAACCATCCATGGAAAACAGGAATCGTTAAGACACAACTTTTTTTTCCCTCACTTTGATCTGAACTGGTCAGAACTCTTAACTCTTCAATAGTTTTCAACGTTTACCAACCAGCTTTTGCTGTCCTGATGGAATAACAGTGTTTATTTTCATCTCACCAAAACAAGGTGGGAGATCTGATTTTGGAAAAACTACCACTAATCAATGAATCAACAAACAAAGGTTTTATGTTCTGCCTGTGGGATGCAGAGGTGATGCAGGACCTAGAGGCTGCCTTGACAACAACCCAACAGATCCCTGCTGCTTTCCTCTCTTTTCCAGGTGCCCAAGTGCTGCCCCTACACTCACCTGTGACCAGGGGCGTTTGTGCAGTTGGCTGTTCCAGTAGGACCATGTGCTGCAGGAGAGGGTTGTGTGCAGTTCCCCCATCCCTCTCCAACGTTGTAGTGCTCAGGTAAGGAGTGAGGTGAGTGCCAGGGAATAAGGAGATCCGCTGCTGTAAGGTTGGGATTGCCAGCCTCTCTGCATCCTGCTGCGCTTGTCCCGCCTGCAAACAGGGCACAAGGGGTTAAGACACATCCGAGAGACTGATCCCAGCCTCGCTGGCATCCCAGAGGGTGATGCCAGCCCCGGTGACATCCCAGAGGGTGATGCCAGCCCCACTTACACTGGAAGGGCCGGTGGCAGGCAGTCCTAGCGTGATGTTGGGCAGGGAGGGCGAGGTGTAGAGCGGGAGCTGTGTCACAGAGCCCTCGCGGTTCACGAGCCTGTGAGCCAGGCTGGTCTGCAAACAAGAGCAAGCACGGGTGAGAGCCCATCCCAGAGCCTGCCAGGACACGGCACCCACCGGGACAAAGCAGCAGGAGGGGACACAGAGCCTCCAGAACCGCACAGACACCCCAGCAATACCCCCCTGTGCATCCCTGAGCTCATTGCCTAAACACTCTGGCAGCCTTGGGGCTGTGCCCACTCCCTGGGGCGGCTGTCCAGTGCCCCAAGACCCTCTGGGGGAAGACTCTTCCCCTAGCATCCAACCTAAACCTCCCCTGGAACAGCTACGTGCTGTTCCCTTGGTACGTGTCCCTTCTCTTTCTAAAGGTAAAACAGATTATCTTAAAAACAAAAAAAAAAAACAAAAAAAAACCCCAAAAAAGCTTTACAATTGGTGTTTTTCTCTTTAGCAAATAACAGACAATTTATGTTATTTACTGGCGTGTGTTAGCATAAATCAGACTTAAAAATCTCATCCAAAAGCCTCAAGGTTGCATTTAAGGAGCTATTTCCTGATTTTCAGGGTGAAACGCAAGATTTGCTCAGTTATCTTACAGGCATTTGAAACAAGAACACTTTAGCAAAAATACCTTTAATTTCTAAACAAGACTGATTTGAAATACGCACTAGAAAACCCATTATAAAAATTACAATAAAGTGCCTGATTTTCCTGCTAGGAAACCAGTGTTCTGATCACCCTGAGGCCTCTGCAGGTGATCTTCCAACATAAATAGAGTTTAAACTTCAAGACAACTTCTACAGAAGCCTGTTAAACTCAGGTGCTGCTGTGAAAAAGAGGATTTTGTTTAACCCAAGATTCTATTACGGGGAAATCTGTACCTAAGGCATAGCTGTCCCACCCCTGGAATTGTTCAAGGCCAGGTTGTTCCATCCTCTGCCATGGGCAGGGACACCTTCCACTATCTCAAGGTGCTCCAAACCCAAAACTGAGCCTGACCATGGACACTTCCAGGGATGAGGCAGCTACAGCTTCTCTGGGCAGCCTGTGCCTTTTTTTTTTTTAACAGACTCATTGTAAAAAAACTTCATTTTTCTCTCTAATCTAAAGTGACTCTCCATATGATTATTTGTACCCACACACTTCTCCTTCGAAATGATTTTTGAGCACTCCTGGCAATTTTGCTTTAATTTAAATTACATAATGTCAGTGTGCCATTGAAAATAAGATACTTATTGTTAGAAGAGGAATGAAATATTTTACTGATAACATAAATGAAACAAAACTACATCCATTTTCCCTTTGAACAATCAATACTCTGGAGTTGTGCCTCAAAGCCTCTCCTGGGGATTTGATACAGAAAACAGAGTAGAGAAGAACACAGCAGCTTGATGCTCTCAGCATATGGGATTTGGCAGCATTATCATCACTTTAAACACACAGCTCCCATCTCTGGGCTGTGCACAAACGGGCCTGAATTGCACACAGCCATTTCTGAATGCACAGTTTGCAGCTGTACTCAAGTTTTTACAGGCTTGTACCAACTGCAATAGCAGTGAATGTTGTGTGCCTCTCAGAGAGGGAAAAACCTTCAAAAACAGTATTTCAAAACAAAAAGTGTTTTAAAGGAGGCAGAGCTGCAGTCTCTCCCCACTGAAGGCACTCAAATGATGAACTTGGGCACCATCCTCCAACACACCTTCTTCAAGGGGTGATGCAGCAAACTAAGAAGCAGTGAGATATACTTCTCATTTAAAATAAAACAAGAAGCTAAGAAGGAAACACAACATTATCTTTTCAGAAACACTCAAATATTTCCAAACATTTAATGGTGGGAACATGGGAAATGCTGGCCCATTGGTAATAAAGCAATCTCCAACACTTGAGCTCCCAGGTCATACATTTCCTACTGAAGAAGATTTTAAAGACACTGAACCTCACTTATTTTTTCCCAAATACAGGCCAGTGGATCAGCTGGGATCGCATGACATGAATGTTGAAGTAAAATGCAGAGTTATTTTTCTCTGGGAAAGGGAAAGGCTTGGGCAGGACAGGGTTTTTTTCCAAATCACTTGTGCTGCTCGTGCCTCAGCCTAAGTCACAAAATTGCTGCATTACGAGCAGTGGATGGAAAGACTTTTCCTTCTGGTCAGTGACTATTTGATTAGGTGTTGGTGGTCTAGCCCCAGATGATTAGCTCTAATTATTGAATTGAAAAATCAAATGGATGAGGAGGATGCTCCAGCTTCACATTCACCTGCAAGAGCTCACTCCAACTTCATGGCAAGGTTTGGGCTGGAAGAGACCTTTAAAGACCACCTGATTCCAATCCCCTTCAGGGACTTTTGGGAAGCTGCCTGCTCTGTTTATGTCACAAAAAAACCTGTCAAATCCACCAGTTTTTCCATCATGAGCAACTGGGAATTTGCAGTTGGCTAAGGACAGACAAGACTGACAGCTCCTAGATTGGCAAAACCAAAACTCGGTGCTTGTCCTCCTGGGGCAAATGAAGCCTCCACCTCCCACCATCTTAATCTTCACACTAAATCTGTAAGGTTACCTAAATCTGTAAGGTTTGCCACGGACTAGAGTGGCTGGAACGTGTGCTGGATCGTTTGGCAGGGCAGAAGGTAGAGAAGGAGGCATGTTCCCCATATTAAATACTGTTACACTACATTAGAAATAAAAATAAAGTGCAAATCTGTACAAAACTAGAAAGCAGTAAGGACTGACATTTCCACCATCAGAAGGTCTTTTCAATTCTAAAGGAGTATTTGTGGAGAACAAGCCCCAGCCTGTTTTTGGAGCCTTGGTGTTAAGACAGACTCTATTCATGGGGAGAACAGCTAATGGGAAGCTGGATAGAAAGAAATGCACCAGTAACATCAGACAACCACACTGGTTTTCTACAGGCATAGTTTATAGTGGGAGCCAGCTCACATGGCCCAGACCCCTTGGAAAAGCTCGGCTCCAGGATTCCTGAACACAGGAGCTGCTGTGCTCAATCCAACCCCACCTCACCCAGGCCAACACCCTGCCCTGGGCATCCAGCAATGCCCCATGTGATGGTGAAAGTTTATGGGATTATAAACCAGCACATGGCACCAAGCTTTCGGATCCCCAGCTGTGGAGGAAAAGTTTAAAATCCATTCCGTTTAATCCAGATATGGACCAGCCTACTGCACACAATAAATCCACCCTATATACAGGAATAATTTCCCCAAACATTAAAATACTTGCATTTGACCCTGCTGAATCTCTTTATTTTTACTTTCTCCTCACTACAAAACCACTGCAAGCTACCACAAGCTGCCTGTGAGCTGGTTCAAACCAGATTTAATAAACAGATAAGGCATCCTGTCAGCCCAGGCTGAGAGGTAATTCCCAAAGTCTGCTCCAAGTCACAAGTTGGAGTTTTCCTCTCGTGTGGTTTAGCCCTAAAGCTCTCCCAAAGCTGATGGCTGTTCAAAAGCAGAGGGAAGAGGACTCTGTACCTCTGCCTGGATACTCGTGACTGATCCTGCAATTCCGTTCTCGGTGCTGATGTTGTTGGAGCTGTTGTTCGGAGAGCTGGGACCAGATCCAGGAGCACTGTTGCATGCAGAGTCTGAAAAACACATCCAAAAGCAACTTTTAACATTAGAATCCATCTCTGTGATGGTATTTAGAAAGATAACAAGCCCTCAAGTTTTGTTTTGGACAAAAGCAGCCCTCCTCCTCCTCCTCTTCTTCCCCCTAAATCTTCCCAGGGCTGTTAAAATACCAACAAAGACTTTCAAATGCTTTATCCAAGTACCTACTCAGCATATTTAAGTCTTCTCCCCACAGGGATTTCTCTTGGAGTGTATTAATAACTTGAAATATGATTGAAAGATAATAAAAGGCATGGGAGGTTTGACGAGGTCAGACTGGAGGATGTCGGAGTTGTTCTGCTTCATTTTTCTGGAAGTGCCTCTCTCACCCTCTTTCCCTCTAACCTCCTTGCATCAGACCTCCCTCAGAACGTCTCTCATCTGCTGTATGGCACAGCTGCCAGTGTTCCTCCTTTTATTTGGGAAGGTTAATAACATTCAAACCTTTTCTTTTGAACTTTCCTCATCCCCAAGCACTTGCAGCAGGATAATCTCCCAGCAGCTGCAGTGGCTCAGGCTGCAGCAGGCTCCTCACTGCTCTGCGAGGAATAAAAGCTAATTTTTACAAGGGTCTGGAGGGACAGGACACAGGGAATGGATTCCCACTGCAAGAGAGCAGGGTTAGAGGGAATTGTAGGAAGGAATTCTTCCCTATGAGGGTGGGCAGGCCCTGGCACAGGGTGCCCAGAGAAGCTGTGGCTGCCCCTGGATCCCTGGAAGTGCTCAAAGCCAGGTTGGAGGAACCCGGTCAAGTGGAAGGTGTCCCCCCAGAACCCTCTGCTTTCTTCAAGGATTAAACATAATTTTTATTCCCCAAAGTGGGACTACTTTTAAAACTTATTTTCTGTTTAAAAGTCCTCTCTTACCATGACAACTCAGATACTTTTCTAACAGGCTCCAGGCTGACTTCTTGAACCACATCCATGCCAATGAGAAATGGCATTTCTGAAGTCATTGCAGGGAAAAATGGTCAGCCAGCAGAGGCTGATTTATCCCACGAGCCATGTACCATATAGCATTGTGGGAGTGAAGGAATTGGATTTTCAGGCCTGAAAGGCTGCTAGAACTCACAGAGTTTTTGGAAAAGGCTCTCAGGCACAGGCTGGGATTTTTGGGGTGTCCTGTGCAGGCCTATCAGGTTGGACTGGATTATCCTTATGGGTGCCTTCCACCCCAGGATATTTTATGATTCCTATGATTCCACAACTTTTAGCTCTTGGAAACGGCCTTCCTCTCTGCAAACAGAGAAGCCCTGACACAGAGAAGTGCTGAGGCACCCCAGGGCCTCCCAAACTCACCCCACTGTGTGACAGGAGCTCACTTCGAGTTTGATGGAGTGATGATCATGTGCCTCGGAGTGAGACAAGCCTGGCAAAGCTGTCACTGGGTGGTACTTACACAGAGACATCCCTAGATGGTGCTAAGAATTAACTTTATGGTAATCTCATCACATTCTTTACTGTGATCCCACTTGCAAACTTTGGTCCTGGAAGGACAGGACTTTTCAACAAGAAACTGTCTACATACATAGCCGTATGTATAAAACCCCCGGGCCAAGAACCTTTTCCTGTTTTCCACCCTAACTGACACAGCTCCAGCTGTGTCCCAGCTCACAGCGAGCAGAGATGGGAGCTGCCCCTCATGAGGAAGCTGCAGATGGGAACGATACCTGACTTCAGCCTCCCCCAGGCTGGACAATCCCAGTGCCCTCAGCTTGGCTCCAGCACTGCTGAAGCACACGAAGGAGACAGGAACGCATTTTGGGAGAGGGGAAGGGACTGTGCCTTACCCGCCGTGCCTGTGACGTCCAGCGGGCGCTTCTTGAGCGCCGTCACCACGGGCCCGTCCTTCCTGCGCAGCAGCGGGCTGCTCCTCCTCTCGGCCACCTTCTGCTTTAGTCTGGAGCGCAGCTTCAGGTTGGGTTCAGAGGCTGCCCAGCAAAAGGAAACAGTGTTAGGAGTGTCTCTGCAGTGTTTTACTCTGCCTGCAGCAGCGTTGAGTTGAGTTGAGTTGAGCTAAGTTGAGTTGAGCTAAGTTGAGTTGGCTGCAGTCGAGCATTTGCAGGAGGCTAAATTAAATTAAGTCATTTGCTAACAAATATTCAGAACACAGATTTTTAATACAACGAACAGGTTAATATAACAAACAGGATGTTGCCCATGCAACGTCTGGATTCAACAACAGGAATGACAGGCATTTGAATTAAAAATGTAATAATCATCCTGCGAAGTCTTCTCTGAGCAAAGACACAGACTTGGAATTAGTGCGGTTTCCCAGCTCTGTCCAACTCGCACCCAACCCAGCAGCAAACCCAGCTGATGGGACCCAGGGAAGCCAGCTGAGATGGTGCTGTTGGTTATCTCTGATGTGCTGCAGGAACAGGCAGCTCCACGCCCTCGGAGTCATCTGACCCCAGGCTGAGCTGGCTGAGGGAGGGATGCCAGGGCAGAGGGAAAAAAACCACCAACATCAAACCTCACAAGCAAACCAGGTGATTGTCTCCCTGCTGGTTCCCTGTGTCAGCTGGAGCCAGCATCAAGGGAAAGGGCATGAGAGCATGGCCAAGGAAAGCCAACGCCAGGGAGGAGGAGGCTGGTTTGTTTGGGAAACAACTTGGGGTTCCATCATCACAGCCCCACAGTGCAACCCTACCTAACAGCACATCAGACACCCTGGGAGCTCCAGACTGCCGAGAGCAGGCATGGAAGCATTTCCTGTGACCACAGCCTTGTGTGAGACTCCCTACAAAACTCAAATCCTGAGATGCCAAGAAGCCAAGGAGAGCTCCTGGGAAGCCCCTGCAGCCAGGACAGCCGGTGACAGCGCACGCACGGCAGCGTCTCCATCAGGGTCACAAAGCTTTAATTCAAGACTCCTCCTGCAAGATGATTTCCTCTGGGAGATTTCTGACCTCCTGAGCCCCGAGTGAAATACCTGCTGTGGGGTTTGAGAGCTCCTAACAGAGCTGAGTGAACCGGCCCCATCCTTTCCCTTCCCCAACAACTCCACCACTTAATCCCTTTTGAACCAGCAAATCCTGTGCTCACTCCATTACCAACCAACACACTCCAGGGCCAATGATCTGCATTTCTTTAGAAGAATTAAAACAGGGTTTAAAACTGATTTGAATTAACTCAGTCTGGCTGCAGCTATATTTCCCCTGACCACCGGGTCACGTCAAAGATCAAGCCTGTCGACGTTAATTGCAGGGCTTGAAAAATCAGAAGGCTGATGAATTCAAGATCAAATGCTTGAAGTTAAGCCATCAACACAGTGTTTTGATGGAATTTTTGGGAGGAAGAAAAAAAAAGAAAGGAAAGAGCTTTATCATTAATGTTTTGGACAGAAAAACACCAGCATGAGATAAAGGGAGCACTAAAAAAAGTGCTTCCTCAAGATGATGCTTCAAATGCTGAATGAAGTGCATTAGCAAGGGGGGAATTATCTTAAGAGAGAGAGAATTTGCATATAAAATGGCAGGGGACTGAATGCAAATCTGCTCCCAGAGCAGTATTAAAGACTGGACCAGTTCAAACACAAGCTCAGGCTCCAAGCAGCAACTTCCCCAAGTTCTCTTCGAAACAGAAGTTGACTTACGATTTTAAAAGCAGTGTTTGGGTACACACCTCATCCCACATCCTCACATTCCCAGCTTTAATTTGTCTCAATTTCTGAGCATTAATAGCTGCCTGGATGCCACACTCATGGCTGGAAGGAGATGATCTTTAAGGTCCCTTCCAACAAAACCACTCTGGGATTCTGTGGAAGGGGAAGGTGTCACAGTTGGATGCTGATATATCCATTTTAAATCAAGGAAATCTAAGCTTATGCCACAGCTGTTGGAAGGATCTGTCCTCTGACAAAGGAAAACATGGCAACAAAAGCTGTTATTTGAGCCCAAATTTTATTCCTGGTGTTCAGATGAGGGATGGTGTCTGTTGGGAACACAAAATTAATTAGGTGGCTTTCAAATACAGATGAGGAATAGGTTTGAAACACCTTAAAAATGGGAAGAGAAACAAAAGATTTGGGGTCACAGATTACCCAACACACCCCATATTTAAAGCCACAATAAAAACCTCCCTCCATGTAACAAAGAGGTGAACAATCACAGAAAATGACAGCCTTAAAAGAGAAAATACCTCCAGCGTAAGTGATTGCCAAAGCACTGTATTGGAATCTGTCAGATTAAACTATTTTAAGGCAAAATTACTCTGTGTTTTCCCCTTCTGCTGGGGGATCGAGTTTCGAAACACCAAAAGGTCTATTTAAAGCAAGCTCTGATTTTGTTGTTTATCCCTCAGATATAATCCCAAATCTAACATGGCATCAGGACTTCAGGGAGCATAATCCCTACACGGATTTAATTGGGTGCTCCAGAGCTCAAACTAGGTGAATTAAAATGCAGCACAGGCAGTGCAGCACAGCCTCAAACTCACAGAATTTACATAAAACCTATTATTTAGTAAAATAATTTAGACTTGTTCAGATGGTTTTTAAACTATTATATAATAAAAATATTTTTAAGCTGAAGAGAGCTGTCTTTCACAAGTGTAAAACAGGAACTTAAACAACACAGAAGCATCAGTACCTGACAGTATGCAATGCAGGCTCAATACTGCCTCAGGAACACCAATTCCACTGGAAATCTCAAATTCACCCTGCCAGGCAATATGCCCAAACAAAGCCTTGCTAACTGGAGCACATTTAAAAACTGGAGACTGAATTACAAAACCTATGTTAAAAAATTACTGCTCCTCTACATCTCCAGGTGAAATATTTAAAATAAATGCCATGAAATTATCAAAATTTCCCTCCAGCAAACAAATGAAGCCCTTGCCCAAATCTGAGTCAGCTCCCATGAAGCCAGTGGGATTTCTTAAGCACTGACATACTTAATTTGGCCTAAAATAAGGATTTATACAAAGAATATTTTGTTTTCCTCCAAGTAAATTAATAACCAGAACATAAGCCAAAAGCTTCCCTGGTTTTCACAGGCTCCAACCCAAGTTACCCCTCTTATACGTCACTGAGTGCAACAGGACCCATGTCATCCAATTCTTCCAACGTTTATGTCATTCCCATTGGTTTTTTCCTTGCAGCCCCTAAGCTGCTGAACTAATCGAACATTAAGTCTGTGGAAGTCAAAACCCCACCATGTCCCAGGCAGAGCTGGCCCTGTTCCCACTGCCCATCCACATTTGGGGAATAAAAGCAAACAATGCAGCATGAGATCCCTGCTCTCAGTCCTTGAACATCTTCATTTCAGCAGGTGAGGACTGGAAAGAGGTATTATTAATTTTTAATTTTTTTTTTTAAGTTTCAGACTAAGCTTTACTAGTCAGGCAAAAGCCAACAGAATTACCTGTCTCCCTTCCAACATCCATGAGAAAATTCCATGAGGAGAGGGAGCTTAAGCTGAAGGAGAGAAAGGGTTTAGATGGGATAATGGGAAGAAATTCTTGGCTGTGAGGGTGGGCAGGCCCTGGCACAGTTTTCCATGAGAAGCTGTGGCTGCCCCTGGATCCCTGGCAGATCCAAGGCCAGGTTGGACAGGTCTTGGAGCAACCTGGAATAATGGAAGGAGCCCCTGGAATGGCAGGGGATGGAATGGAATGAGCTTTGAGGTTCCCTCCAACCCAATCCTGGGATTCTATGAGCAGTGCAGGCCCCTGGGAAGCAGAGATGGAGCTGGGAGGACCAAGGAGGAGGAGGAAGATGAGTTCCCTGAATGACTGGGATCCTCCAAAGGTGACACTAAATCACAAGATTTTGTTTGGCCTACTCCTGGAAGAGGTTTCTGTTTTGGCACACCACTCACAAGAAGTGTCTTCATGATTCCACAATCCTTAAGGCTGGACAAGACCTCAGAGATGACCAAGCCCAACCATCAATCCATCACCACCACAAACCATATCCCCCAGTGCCACATCCCGTTTTTTGAACACTTACTGGGATGGTGATTCCACCACTGCCCCAGGCAGTCTGTTCCAGTGCCTGACCACTCTTTCAGTGAAGAAATCCTCCCCAAGAACCAAGCTAAGTGTTATTTTTGGAGCAGACAGACTTAAAGCAGGCCAGGGTATTTCCAGCAGGGATTTCTCTGGGGGTCAGGGCCTCCTCTCAGTGCGTGGGTCTGTGGGAAGCCAGGCTTCCAACCATGCTGGCTGCAAGGACAGCGTGGGTGGGAAGGCAGAGATGCTCTTGAACAGGAGTGACACTCCATGCCACACAGAGCTCCAAGATTTCCTCTGGATTATACTCCCACATTACACCAGGGTTTCTGACTAGTCTATTTTCCTCCAAACAACCTTTTGTCCTAAAACAAACCACTCCAAACACTCCAATAATCAGAACCAGCTCAGAGGGACATTATGCTTTCCTTGACAAATGCAGCATTATAATTGTTGACAAATCCTTTCATTTTCCCTTTTATTTCTTTCTAAATTCAACAAGTTCACAGCAATTTTACCTGCTTAGCTGCAAATAATACCCAAACAACTCCAGTTTTCTCTAATACCAACAATATCATGGGATCATGGATGATGTCCTCTCTCAGGCTCCTCTCTTTTGCATGGAAAAAAAAGAATTGTGGAGTCACACAATCATTTATGTTGGAAAAGCCCTCTAAGATCAAGTCCAAGAGGAAAAACATGTTAAGAAGTGAAATAATTCCCTTTAAATCTGCATGATGGCGGTGGTGTTAGCTTTCTAAGTAACAGCATGTTCTAATACATCCACTGCTCAAATTTCAGAAAGCAGGGAATGCCATCAGCAACCTTGTTCCCAGGGAGAAAACGAGGACAAGATTCCTTGGAAATGCAAAACTGAAAAGCTCTGCTAAAACCCACTTCAGCAGCTCCAAGAAAGGTGTTGACAAACAACTCGGGGTTATCAAAACAGGGTGGCCCAACTCAGAGTCTAAAATCACTCTGTGAGGATTCTCCAGAGATTTTCCTTACAGGACCCCAGTGTAGCACATAACTAATGTTAGTACATTTGGGAGACATCAACCTTGTGCTGGGAGCAGAAAAAGTCACTTAGAATTTTCCCTCACAAAAGCTGTCAATAAAACTCCAACACTAAATCCTACACAGAACAAAGTAAAGTCCCCAAAAGGGGAAATAAAAATCCTTGTGCTAATCCGGGTATTTAACAGCAAAGGCAGGAGCAGCACCAACCAAACTGATCTTAGGTCAGTGAAAAAAAAAAAAAAAAAAAAAAGGCCCACAGTGCTTAGAGAGGGGGAGCAGAGTGAAATTAATCCCCCAGCCAGGGTAAGAACAGGATTCAAGCAATTAGTAATTGCACCAGGAAAACAATTTGGCTGAAACAAAACAGTCAAGAAACTGGAGCATAATTTAGAAAAACAAATCATTGAGAGTTGGAATTCAGGGCATGGGGGGGCATCAGGAGCACGCTGCAGGAGCTAACTCTTCCCTCTGCTGAAGGCTTTCAAGCACCCTGAGAGATCACTCCTGCACATCCTCTCTCTGCCATAACCTGGAACCATCAGGACGCTTGAAATAAGAGTAAAGACAGAGTATTGCTAAAATGCAGGGAAATGGCAAATCTGATCGAATCATGGAATAGTTTGGGATGGGAGGGACCTTAAAGCTCACCTTGTTCCAATCCCCTGCCATGTGCAGGGACATCTTCCTTCCAAGCCTTGTCCAACACTGACCTGGAACGCTTCCAGGGATGGGGAATATTTATTCTTCCCAAAAATGTCTCAACCTGCAGGACACACTCCCAGCTCTGCAGACTGGGAGAAATGGTAATTCCAACTGCCTTCCCACCACCCCCTAAGCAGCCCTCTCCCCAGCAACGGTGCTGGTTGGATTCCAGCCCTGGTAATCAGAGCTGTATTGTGATGGGCTCTGTTATTTGAGCTGCAAATATTTAATCAAATTTAATAAAATTGGACTACACGATATGGCGGTTTTAAATTACCAACACAAAGCCAGAGCATCGCCTGGTGCCAAAAATCTGAAAAGCTCACCCGTAATAAAGAACTTTATTTAGGATGGGCTCCAGCCTTCCCTGCCTTTTGTTTACACCAGACTGTTCAGGAGCCTTTCTTCTCCAAGCAACTTAACATTCTTGGCACTGGGAATTCTGCAGGATATTGCTGTGCCAGAGCCTGACGTGCTGTTGTGTTGAAAGGAAAATAAAAGAAAACAATGAAAAAAAAAAATTCTCCCCTGAACCTTACAAAAGTGAACTCGTTTGCATCCCAGACCAGTGCCCAGGAGATTAATGCTGGTGCCCAAAAAGAACGAGCACCAGTGTTCTGGGAAAACCAAAATCTGCTGGAAAACAACAATGGGCTTGGTGGCTTCCACTCTTTAATAATGTGATTAGCTCCATTTATCATCCTTAATTCCCCCTGTCTGACAGCAGGAGTTCATTCAGCAGGAGCTTTGGTGAGATCCCAGTTTGGGAAGCGGCACAGGGTGAGATATGCAGATGCCTTCCTTTTCCTGCAGGAATTCCCTTCTAGGACACTGGGAGCAAGAAGTGCGACTGCTGCTCAAAGCCAATCTGACAAGGTGCCCTGAGGTGATGAGCCAGGCAGGTTTGGGAGCATGTCAAAGCTCATTTTTACTGTGGGAATGCTAACAGGGTAGGAACGGATCACCTGGCATCACAAGGCACAGGAAAATCTCTAGGAATCAGGCTGCCTACAGGCCCTAAGTGGTAGGTTTGGTGCCAAGGGATGCTTCCCTGAGTGGAAAGACTGTGATTCCCCAGGGTAGCCTGGGAGCTCCTCCACTACCCAGGATTAGTGAGGATGCCCTGTCCTTCAGCAAATCCAGTTTTCTAAGCTTGGCTTTGGAGTCCTCCAGGAAGGGCACAGTCAAAAGTACCACCCCCAAAGACACAGGAGCACCTTTCTCAGGGAAAACCTACAGCTTGGATCCAATTTTTGAATGGGTTCCTGTGCAGCTGAAGGGTTTGTTACTTGTCAAGCAACCAACCCAAGGGGGAATGGAGACAACTGCACAGATGGGAATGCATCCAGCAGGGCAGGTGCTATGGTTCTTAGTGAGACATTCCCAAAAGAGGAAAATTTAATCACTGAAAGGCTGGTCAGGCATTGGAACAGGCTGGCAAGGGCAGTGGTGGAGTCACCATCACTGAAGATGTTTTAAAAACCTCTGGATGTGGCACTTGGGGTCATGGGTTAGAGGCAGCCTTCGCAGTGCTGGTTGAAGGTTGGATGATCTTAGAGGGCTTTTCCAACCTTGATGACTGTGTGATCTTTGCAGAGAAGCTTTTTTTGCTGTCCTGAAGTGATTCTCAGCACGGCCAGTGAGCAGAACTGCTCCCTGAGCGAGGCTGAGCTCTGGGAGCTGTGCCGTTCCCCGAAGGCAGCAGCCCCGAGCTGGCTGGGTTGGGAGCCCAGGCTGTGCTGGCTCAGGCATGTGCTACAGAGCTGAGGAGCATGGCCAAGCCAAACAACCTGGTTGACATAAGACAGGCTTGAGGAATAACTGACCTGCTCAGCCACCGTGCAGAGAAAGGCCAGACTGAGAGAGGACTGTCTAGGTGTGAACCAAACCCTCGTAAGAAGCCCTGGCACAAACCTCCTTATTTACCTCAGGTACAAACTCGTACATAAAATGCAAATCCCCCAAGAAATGAACTTATTCTCAGTACTTTCCTCACTCAGTAAAGCACACTTGGGCTGGAGACACGTGGATCTCTGCAGGAGCTTTGGGTTTGGGAAAACATCTCCCAAACTTTGACATGCGGCTCCGCTGCCACCCACACTCTGCACAGAGCCCAGAGCAGCCCCAGGCTCCCTGGGACACCGGGAGTACAGTGACAGGTGAAGGGGGAGCAGATGGAGAGGGGGCTTGGGAAACAAAGCACAGCCTGGAATCTCCAGCTTTTTGGCAACATCCCTTCTCTTTCAGGAGAATCAGATGAGAGGGCCGAGCGCGACGGTCAGCAGCGCGGTGAGAGGAGGGCAGCCCTACCTGTTTTTCTGAGTGGGAAGTCGTCTTTGGAATCATACATCCCCAGGACTGGGTGGTTGTAGGTGCCGGAGACGCCACTTTGGGGTGGGGAGCTCTGGTCCAGAGAGCTGTGCTGGGTCTTCCTGCACAGAAGGAAAGAGAAGGAGAAGGGACAAGCTTTACACCGGCGGCACGCAGAGGGGACGAGCACAGCGCCTGCCACCTCGGGGAGCAGGCAAAGGCTCTGGCTTTCTCCTCCTGAGCATTCCTACAAAAAAACCACTAAAATTCGATATACAGGAAGGTAATTAACTTAGTTTTTAGTGTAAGACTCCACCCTAGCTCAGCTCATGCAGGCATTTAACCTTGAGTAAAAATTCTAAGACTGTAACCTGGGTTAGAGTTTTGCTAAGTCGTGTTCCTGAATCTCAGCACAGATGAGGCCTCAACTTCAGCCCAAATGAATCATTTCCCTCCCCAAAATAAAGCCCAGGTTTAGCAGAGTCCAAGGCTGAAGCACTGAACCTGGCCAGCAGCAGCCATACCACACAGGTGGCCCCCTGCCTTTCCTCCTGCCTGTCCTCCCACCCCAGGAGCTCAGCAGAGACGGGGCCAAAACACTCAGCACCTTCCCAGCTGAACTTCCCCGAGATGATAATTTATGGCTTTGTTTGAGCAGGCTGCTGGAAGTAAATTACAGTCTGTTTGCTGAGGATATTAAATAATGAATGAGTTTTCTCAGCCTCCTACCAGTTTGTTGGCTGTATCTTTCCTGCTTAATGACTTGTGCCCAGCTCTGCTGTTTCTCAGGAGCTCCACCAGCCTGGGAGAAGGCTCCAGTCAGCAGAACAACTGATTTAGCCATGCAGGTGACACTCACTGGGCTCTCACAACTTCACTTTAAATAAACAGAATTTAAACCCCCTATTTCTTCTGAATACTAAAGGATTTGGGATGATGAAAAGGAAGCATTTTGTTTTAAAAAAAGAGATTTTTAAAAATTTTATTCTGCCTAAAAACCAAGCTGAAAATATTCTCCTATGAAAGGTTCTTCAAGGAGCCATTCCCAGCTGAAAATTGCACAAATTCACACCATTTCTTGAGCAGTACTAATCCCTTGAGGGCAAGCTCAACTCAGAAGTTGGCTGTTTGCTGAGATCCAGAGCATCAATTCCACTGCAAGTTAAAGCAAAAAAAAAATCAAAAAATAAGGGGCTAATGAAATACTAGGAAAACACATTGAATTTTCTATATAATTACCAAAAAGAAAAAACCCAAATCCTCTGCAAATTTTGTTTGAGCATCAACATTTTCTACTCCCACAGTCCTTCTAGTGGGAAGTGTGTCTGCCTGTGGCAGGGGGCAGAAGGGGATGGTCTTTAGGGTCCCTTCAACCCAAACCATTTTAGGACTCTGGAAGTATGAATGACTGCGGTTTCCCAGTCCTCCCTCTTCATTATCCAGATTTCAAAAATTATTTTTGGGGCTCTTGCAGGTCTGTGTTTCCCACACCCACCCTGTACTGTGCCACATTCCCACCCCTGAATGCCCCCATGCACACTTCAGCCTTCACCTGCAATCAAAACAGAGCCAAACTAAAAAAAAAAAAAAAAAAAAAAAAAAAAAAAAAAAAAAGAAAAGTCCCTACTGGGAAGAGACATAGTTTTTTTCTGCCGGGATCTGCTCATTCCATGGGAAGGCAGCATGCAGAGATGTTTCACTCCCAGGAATCCTGGATGCTGTGATCCAAGAGCCCTGAGCTCCATCTAGTCCACAATGACATTTTTGGCTCTATATAAGCAACAGACATCTTTTTTTCCCCCCTCCTTTTTCTTTTCCTTTTTTTTTTTTTTTTTTAATCATGACCTAAGCAGCACAATCGAGTACATTGAAGCTATTTTCATCCCTTTGTCAGGAAATGTGCAGGAATTCAAAGGGCCTGTTTAGATGTGCTCCAGGGCTGCTGAATGACAGATATTGAGCTCTGCAAACAGGAATACATTCCCTGGCTCCAGGACTGGGGTCTGACGCAGCTCCCAGCAGCATGCACTGGTCTGCATGCCCCTTCAGGAATGCTAGAGCTTTGGGAGGAGAGGAAACTGGACACTGCACAGAGCTTGCAGGCATTCCTGAAAGCACATCCCTTCATTCAAGACATTCCCTGCCCCTGAGCTCCTTCAAACACCCACGTGCACAAACAGAAAGTTTGGAGCGATGATTTTGGAGGTCTTTTCCAACCTTAACCATTCCATGATTTGATATTTCATCCTTCAATCATGTTCAGCAAGGTGCACTGAATATACATTCAGACATGTGTACCTGTGCTGGAACGTTTTGTGTTCACACCCGTGGATGTTGGGATCATTCAATGTATAATTTAATGTGTAATCTAAAGTATATTTGTACCTCTCTACCTCTCCACCATGCAAATATTCAGTTAAACTCCCTTTCATGGCTGCTAGCACATAGAGTGGCTGCTTCCCAAGCACTGCTGACAGCTTTCCAGGGGAATCACAGACAGAAGAAATTCCTGGGAGCTGGGCTGCCCAGTGGGTTCAGAATCCAGGGGAAGGACAGCCTGACAATGCAGCTCCAGAGAACTTCCTCTGCTGCTGCCTATCATAAAATCCCAGAGTGGTTTGGGCTGGAAGGGACATTAAAGACCACTTTGTTCACCCCTTCCACCATCCCAGGTTCTCCAAGCCCTGTCCAACCTGGCCTTGAGCATTTCCAGGGATGATACATTGTCCATTTTCCAGCTCTAATACCTCTGTGATTCCATGCCAGCAGAACATTTTTCCTGCCACAGCCACTGACGTCAGACCATCATGGTGCTCAATACCCTTAGGAGAGTTTTTTTTCCCCAAGCAACACTTTCCATCTTTTTTTTTTTTTTTTTTTCATCATGGTGCTCAATACCCTTAGGAGAGTTTTTTTTCCCCAAGCAACACTTTCCATCTTTTTTTTTTTTTTTTAAAAAAAGGGAATTCACAAACCTTAATAAGACCAAGGGAAGTGCTTAAAAGCAGGCTTGTTGCTTCAAGAGGCTCTCCCAGCATCTGTTACCACTTAATTGCCTCGCCTGCTCACAGTGGGAGCGTGGAGCGGATCTCCCGCGAGCCCCGCTCAACCCAACCACCACCCAACTGCATCACAGCACAGCTATGTGGGGACAGCAATGCCTCCAGAGCTCAGCTGGTAACCTATGAGATGCCATATAAATAAATACTAATATGTCAGGAATTTAAAGGTTGATTCTCCTTTTGAAAAAAAAAAAAAAAAAAAAAAAAAGATTTTTTTTAATAGAATGGAAAGGAAAAAGATCTTCAACTTCTGCCTTAACAAGTGAAGGGTGCATTTTAAAAAATCCTGTGCTGCTGCCATCTGCCCTCCACGATTCAGCACTGAGAAAGAGCTGTGAGGCCTCAAGGCTTTGTCCATCTTAGGTTAGAATCCAGGACACTAATCCTCATACCACCACAAAACAGATGGAAAATGAGGGGATGGCACGACCTGAAATCCTTGTGCAATGGTTTGTGCATTGTCTCTGCTTCATGAAGAATCTCAGGATGTTTTGGGTGGGAAGGGACCTTAAAGTCCATCCACTGCCACCCCATGCCATGGGCAGGGACACCTTCCACTGTCCCAGGCTGCTCCAAGCCCCAGTGTCCAACCTTGGACACTTCCAGGGATCCAGGGGCAGCCACAGCTTCTCTGGGCACCCTGAATTCTAACTGACCTTGTACCACTCCTGCATTAACTGTAATTTCAACCAACTTTTAAAGAAATGGAGGCAGAGTCTTCAACCACCTTTAATGAAATCCCCAACTCTCAGATTAGATTTTCAGAGACGTATTAAAACTGCTCAATCTCACTTTGCCTCCAATAACATCTGAATTCTTCTGCCAACTCCACTTCAGCATTTCTGTCCTGGCTCAGAGCTGGGATAGCTTTCAAATTTCATTGCAGCTCAGTTTCTGGAATTTGGAAACATCTTCTGGCTATGACCTCATCCTCCCTGTACACACGTTCATTTCTTAAGACTTAAAACACTGTCAGTGCCTCGGCCTGAACACGAATTTCATGGCAAAATGAAATTACTTTTGTAACTCAAAATTTCATGAATTTTAAGGTCACTAAAGCCAACATCCAAAGCACTTTGGTCTTTTATTTAATAAAGACAGTGACAAAATCACAGCAGTGGAAACTTCCAAGTCACATCAAATTTTCTAATTGTCTTTAGTACAATGAAAAAGTTTCTGAAACTGAAACTAGAGACCAGCAGTTGAGTATTTTCAGTTGAAAACAGAGATGTTGGGGCAGTTGTGATTAAAAGTGCAGACTGGACCCACTGGATGTTTCCAGTAAGAGTGAAGTACACAAAACTTCCAATTTTGAGAGATTAAGAGCAGTAAGCATTAAAAGCTTTAAAATGCACTTAACTATCCTGAGCTGCAGGAATTCACTAAATCATAAAATATCCTGAGTTGGAAGGAACGCACAAGGATCCCCAAATTGCAGCTCCTGAACATAAAAAACTATTCCTCATTTGACTAAAGCTCGAGTTTTATGACACCAGGTGGGATCAAATCGTGGGTGAAAAGCTGGAGGACTTATTAATGCTGATCTCTGACTGCAGAACTTGTGAGTTTGAATAACTGTGGATTACAGATAACACAAGGACCTCTCCCTACACACAGAGCACCGTGACTGTCACAGCACTCACACTGGAACCCTCTGGAAAACACATTTCGGGAATGCACAGTGCTCCTATCACTGCTCTGGCTCATCCCACCAGCACATCAGGCCTGTTCCCTCAGGGAACTGGGGACAAAGGTGGCACTGGCTGAGCCCTGCAGAAAGCCCAGCACCACTTACCCGTACCAGAAGCGAGGGTCACTGGATATGCAGTGGTTGAGATTTCGGTGGGCCAGAGCCTTCTTCTTGTTCAACACAAACTCCTGCAATTTCATCTTCACTTCTGTGCTTGCCACTGCACCTGCGATTGAAAAAAAAAAAATTAAAAAAAATTAAAAAGGGTCATTAAATCAATGCACATACTTGAAGGAATTTTAAATTTCTAAAGCAGATCTCAAATCGAATCTTTCATTTCCAGTCCAAAAAAACCCAGAACTTTGCTTTCAAAGAGAGAAGAACAAAGTGCCTCCAGTAAGGAGCTCTCCCTTTTTATCCCTTTAGCTTGGCACAGAATCACAAGTTATGTTTGAAAACAGAGATGAAATTGGGTTTATTTCACCAGAAGAGGATGTTACACTTGCATAGAAGCATGCTCAGAATAAAGCACTTGTCCGGGGTATCCCAGCTCTCTTTGAACCAAAGCTATTTAAGAAAAGGGGTCTTGTGCACCCTCAAGTTGTTAAATGTCGCATCTAAAAGCAAAAGGGGAATGAGCCCAGTGGCTCATGTGTAGGTTTTGTCTTGAAAACTCCTGTAAACAGGGACCTCTTTGTTCCCAAGTCTCTGTGCACACCACAACCGACGTAACATTTCGCTTCATTTACAAGCTCTCGCTTCAAATAGAAAACCTAACACTTAAAAAAAAAAAAAAATTAAAAAAAAGAGACTCAGTCATTCTGCAGAGCTAAAATGTCAACTGTGTAATCCCTAATCATGATTTCCTGCACAATGGAGAGCAGGCTGTTCTCCTGTTATGATGGATCCCAGTGATCATCGGCTTGACAGGCCAGACTCCCAGGCAGGGCTCCTGATGGAGCAATGCATCCCAAGTTTGGCAAGGGGACACGTGGAAAATGATGGTTCATCCACACCGTGGCGTAAGGCAGGAGCTCCAACGGAAAATATCTGGGCTGGGAGGAAAGGAAAAGGCCAGGGAAGCTGCCTGCTCCGCTGGGAACAAGAACTAAAAGATCCCCCTGCCATGTACTCGTCTCCTATGCCCTGCTCGATGACGAGGTGACGTTTAACATGCTGGGAGAACAATTCCTGGGCTCTCCCCAGGAGCAGGGAGCTGCAGCATTCCCACTGCCTGGCACTGCCTGGAGGTGTAAAACGGTTCAAACACCAAGGTGAGAAAATTCCCTTTTTTTGGAGCCCTGCATTTCTCACCAGCTCCACGAATACAGATTTGGTGGAAAGTTCACGAGACTAGCTGGAGATTAATTCTAGAGTAGCAGAAGACGTGACAAATCCATGTTTGAAAGCCTTCTCCCTCCAAAATGTGTCATCCTTAATCCATTAGCATCCTTAGAACACTCAAATCTGGCTGTGTTCTGTCAGTTTGACATAAACCTGCTCCTTAGAAGACTTGAAGTTCAATATTTTTGGAGTGTAAGGCTCACCTCCTTTACTGGAAGCTGAAAGATATCATAGAACCTCAGAGAGCTTGGGGCTGGAAGGGACCCTAAGGATCATCCAATTTCAACTCTGTGCCATGGGCAGGGACACCTTCCACTGTCCCAGGCTTCTCCAAGCCCCAATGTCCAACCTGGCCTAGGACACTTCCAGAGATCCAGGGACAGCCACAGCTTCTCTGGGCACCCTGTGCCAGGGCCTGCCCACCCTCCCAGGGAACAATTCCTTCCCAATATCCCATCCATCCCTGCCCTCTGGCAGTGGGAAGCCATTCCCTGTGTCCTGTCCCTCCATCCCTTGTCCCCAGTCCCTCTCCAGCTCTCCTGGAGTCCTTTTAGGCCCTGGAAGGGGCTCTGAGTTCTCCCTGGAGCTTTCCCTCCTCCAGGTGAGCATCCCCAGCTCTCCCAGCCTGACTTCAGAGCAGAGGTGTTAACAAAGAAGGAGAACAAACTCCACCTCTCTCACACTCTCTTCATATTTCAGATCAGGACAATTTTAGCTTCTCTTTGCCAAATTTTGTGATGTGAGAAAAATAACTTAAGTATCCTTAAGAGCTGAGGTGTGATAATGATTCTACACCACAGCACTTCTTAAATAAAAAGTAATTTAAAAATGAAACTGTAGCCATGGGAACAGGATCTTCAACTTACAACATCCCCAAATTCTGTTTTTTTTCCTCTACACCTCTGTGTTTCACCCAAAAGATGCTTTGCTCCGATTTTCTAGCGATTCAGGCATTTTAATTTCTTATCAGATTACTTTAATGAGCATGGCCAGGTATCTCTTCTGAGGAGAGGCCCAGCAAAATATGGACCAAACATCAACATGATGTGAGCAGCAGGAGGAAGTGGAAATGCTTAGGTATTCTGAACCTCTGGTCTTCCTAGCACTTCAAAAGGTCTCCCAGACCCGAGTTTTTTCCTATTGAAAAAGTTCTTGGAGCTTTATCTTACTCCCAGTTCCCAGCCAGCATCCCATCTTCCTTCCACCACTTCTCCCACGGTGAAACCAGACGAGGTATTTTGAGGTTTTCCCCCCCCCCCATTCACTTGCAGAAAAAGCCCAAACAAGCAGCCCAGAGTGTCTCTGATAAGGGACATTGTGAGGCCACAATGATCTCCTCAAGTGCATAATGACACACAGTGGGGAAGGCACCCACAAGCTGTAACCTCCTGAAAAAAATCCCCTCATGAATGGAAACGCTTCAAAAAGGGGAGAGCTGAGAACTGCTATGTCTTAAAAAGAGTGAAATTCAGAGCAGCAGAAAGAGAAAAGGAGTGCAGCGTGCATCTGGTGTATTTTATGGGCTTAATATTCTGCCTCCATTAGGAATGCTGCCAAAAATACTTCAAAAAATGTTAAATCAAGGGAAGAGAGGATACGCTTCCTTTTGAAAAACGCTAAAATGGCATTTAGTAAGACAAAAATGAAGATAAAGCAGAGAAACGCGTTTCTTCCCCTCAATTCCCACAAGCTCTCCGTGCCCTCAGGGAGGTTTCCTCCAGCTTTCTGAGGCTTCTCCATGGCTCCCATACACCCAAAGGAGTGGTGCTCTGGCCACTTACTCTCTTTCCCTTTCTCTTTGTTCTTCAGCTGCTGCAATTTCTGCTCTCGGTGCTGCTTCTCCAGCTCCTGCTCCTGTCTGTGCTGCTCCAACTTCCTCTGGTGCTCCAAGAGCTCCTGCTGATGCTTCATGGCCAGCATCTCCTGCTGCTGCTGCAGAGAAGGGAACAGGATAAAGGAGCAAATTAACACCATCAGCCTTCCCAGAGCCAAAGCAGAGACTGCAGGCAGCTGACAATGACAGTGTTTCATTCATGGAAAGAAGGACAAGCATGGGCCTCCTTTTATCTCCATCGCCTAATTTTAAATAAAACCCCACTAGGGCACTCTCAATATTATTTGTTGCACAGAGAAATGTAGAAATTATGGCTGCCCCATCCTTGGAAGTGTTCCAGGCCAGGTTGGATGGGGCTTGGAGCAACCTGGGGTAGTGGGAGGTGTCCCTGCCCATGGCTGAGGATGGAACGAGATGCAATTTAATGTCCCATCCAACTCAAATCACGCTGAGACTCCATGATTAATTATAAAAAGAATTGTTCCAATAGATAAAAAAAAAATAATTCCCTCAACAATTTCTCCAGGAAGGATTCTTCCCTGGCCCTCTCAACTCACCCATATTCATGGGAATAATCAGGAGACATGATGTCTAACTAAGGTAATTATTTGCAAAGCTTCCTTCAGATTGGACATTCAAGGCTGGAAGCACCAAAGGCTCCTGCCCCTGTGCAAGTCCCCCCTGGGCTCCCCAAGTCCCAGCAGCTGGGAGGTGTCAGTGTCCCCACCTGGGGAATTTGGGGTGCATCCCCCTGCACAGGGCACCCTGTTTGGGTGCAGAGGGGATATCCCAGCCCAGAGCCCCCTGTTTGGGTGCAGAGGGGATCCC